ATACTGATAATAATTCTAGCAATTTTTGTTAAATAACTTACTATTTTAAATTTTTAAGGACTGTATTTTAGTAATAACTTAATAATTTAAAAAAAAAAATTTTAATTTATTAGTGACATTTAGATTAATAAAATTCCTAATGGTGACCACTTTTCTAGAAACCTATACATAGGAGAAATTCATACACACGATTTACAACTAAAGATTTCAAAGTGATGCCCTAAAAAGTCCTGATTTTTGAGTTATCTAGTTTTTCCGAAATAGTGCAGATCGAGGTGCAGATAATATCTTGTCAAAATTATTCAGTGATGCAAACATGTTTGCGGCTAAGAAATCTTAACTATCCTTTGTGATCCTAAGGTTTGAAATTATGCTCTCTATTAAGCTAAGCATATCACGTCCCCCTGTGCGGCATGCCGGTGCTCCTGCTGTTGTTAAACTCGCTCTTAACCCAGATTTGTCATTTTCATAATTGCTAATTTGAACTACTTTAAATAATTATTGCACGCATGGAATTCGGTTCCTAAAATCGCAATGCATTATCGGCAATTTAACGGCTGTCAAAAGACATTAGTTTCCATGTTTGTAGTTTATTTAAACAGCATAATTTTTTATTAATTTAAGTTTAACAATCAATACCTACGAACAATATTTCATTAAATATTAAATTGTTTTAATGTAATTGTAATTAAACAATAGCACTGTAATGGGGTTTAACCGATGTCGATACCAACAGGTTTTTTATGTCAGAAAATCTAATAATAATAATAATAATTAATAACGATATAATTTCGTTTCTTGTTACTAAAATGAAAATTTAAAAAAATTCAATTTGTGAGGGGCATGTTCCCATGTTGTGAAAAAAATTTAAAATCGATGAAAGACCTTTTAAATTTTTTGATTATATTTTGTGTTTGAGTGAGTCCCTAGATGGTTTAGTCACAATTGGACCCGGTAGGTGGGGCTGCTATCGGACAGGACAACGTCTGTCGGGCCCGCTAGTACTTTTATATTTTTGCTCATAGGTACATTGTTTATTTTTGCAATATTACTTTTTGTTTATAATACATCACAAATTAACCAATATTTAGAAAGTGTTTACCTACTAAAAATTCCTAACTATATAATATAAGAAAAAAACGATAATACAGAAAACCAGATCATGAAAGCGCCGCGGCAAATGATAAGTGGAGCACATTTTAAAAATCCGATGAACATTTTTAATCATACAATGTGTGCGATTTAAGACCGCAACACCCCATTATTTTGGAACGCGTTGACCGGTTTTAATATACAGCCCGTTCAGAGTAAAACCGAATAACGTTTTGGGCGTGGCCTCGCCTCCCTCCAAGGCGCGTCACAGTAGCTTGTGTGATAAACGACATGACAAAAGGTCGAGCAGGTAAGACGACTTAAAAAATTAAATATAATAATGCAAAAAATCTCATAAGCTATGCAGGCTATTTGCTTAGCTACTGTGTCGCGCGTTGGAGGGAGGCGAGGCCACGCCCCTTATGTTTCAATATATTCGGTTTTACTCTGAACGGGCTGTATATATATTTTTAGGGACATATTATGAGCTCTATTTAACCAAGTGGGAAAGTTTTAAATTTTCTGTTCTTCAAGGCTTTTTAATGAGTTAAAATTTAGGGATCGATCATTTAAAAAAAAATGGATAGCTCATTCGATTCAGACGTGCAAATAGAAAGTTTGAGATGAATACCTTATATAGGTTGTTTGTCATAGGGCCTTTCCATCTCAAATCGACTAGGCAAAAAGGGGTTGGTTTAAAAAAAAAAAAATTACAGTTTCTTTACCGAAATCGATGAGACCCTTATTGTTTCTTTTTGCTTAAATTTGTTTACCCGTAGGAAATTTAAAAAAAATTGACAGAAAATCGATTTTTTTCTTGAAAAGGCGATAACTTGGTCAAAAATGTTTCGATCGTTACTTTTTTTTAAATTGTAGGTAAATGTTTATTACATACAAAAAAATATATAAAAAATAAAGTGAATTTACTCAATTAAAAAAAAAAAAAATTCTACAAAAGGCAAAAAGGTCAAAATTTTGACATTGCCACATTTTTTTTACTTCATATTTTTTTCGTTTGAAGTAGATAATATAAACAACTTTCACTAAAAGTCCTGAGTTGGCTAAATTCGTCGTTTCGGATCTATTATTTTTTTTAATGAAAATGCCATTTTCTAGTAAATTCGTGGTTCACTTCTGGTTACAAAAAAAGGTACGGAATTTATTCGAATTGGATATCTGGCGAACAAAACCCCCCAAAATTTATTTAACGTATATATTCTAAAAAACATAATTTTTATAGTCTTGTACCAAATTTGTCTTAATTGTATTGAGCTCAACCTTTGTATTTGAGGCACGCCATAATCGAATGCGCTATCCATTTTTTAGAAAGAAAAAATCCTAATGGTCAATCTCTAAATTTCAACCCATTTAGAATATCTTAGCAGGCCTTGAAAATTTTTTCAAATGGTTAAATAGTATCACAAACTAAACGTACGTTTTAATAATAATTTACTAATATGTAGATCAATTTTATGCAGTTAAAATATGACATTTTAACCTTTATCGCACTATTCTTCTTTAAAATACATTTTACATGTTTATTAGACTGGTTCAAAAAAATCGAATATTTTTTTTTCTTCAAAGCCCGCATTGAAACATCTTCCTAGTAGTGAAAAAAGAAGCCTGTGAAAATTGTAGCTCTTAATATTACTATTTAGAGATCGCTCATCGTGAATTTCTATTTTACGTTTAAATAACACAGGAATTCTTTTTTCTTTACTTTAAAATTTTATAACTCGTTTTTGAGTGAACATATTGGAATAAACTCTATATATTTTTGAAGAAAATTGAACGTTCTACAAAAAATGTCTCTTATAATTTTTTCATAAATTCATTTCTTTTATAGTTATTCAAGGTTGAAATTAGACATATAATAAATTTAACGTTTTTTTTTCAATTGGTGGCATAATAATAAACCTTATCACTCATTATTGTACAGGATGGTCCAGTTTGTAATACATTAATTTTAATAGGTGATAAAGCATCAAAAATAAGGTAGACTTTCGTAGAAAAACATTTCTTAAAAAAAATTGTTTTCTCTTCATAACTTTTAAACCACAAAATTAATTTGGCACACAATGTAATATAGTCAGTGCCTTAATAATGATGTAGATAATCAGTGCCGCAGTTACTTGGGGGGCTGCTCCCCTTTTCACCTCAGTCTTTGACGCCACTGGAAATTTTAAAATGATAAATAAATGTTTAGGTCAAGTTTTTAATTAATGGAAAAAATTTGCTCTTGTAAAATTTTGATTTGGGGCCTGGTTTCTAAAATATTTGCTCAAAAATGTTTCCTCGCAAAATTACATTTTTAGATTGTCTGTTCAATTTAGAGAAAAAAAACTACTGTGCTAAAATTTTAATTTAGGGCTTGGTTTTTTGAAATATTTGGGAACTCACTCCAAAAAAACTGCGGCAAAAGTATTTTTGGATAAATAAATTAATTATTTAAAAAATGAAGCACTAAATCAAAATTTTACATAAGTAGTTTTTTTCTCTAAATTAAACAGATAATCTAAAAATGTGTATAATATTGAAAAAAATTCCAGTGGCGCCTAAGGTGAAAAGAGGAGCAGCCCCCCAAGTAACTGCGCAACTGATATTTTTTTAAATAATTATCCACATCATAACTAAGACATTGACTATATTGTGTACAAAATTTGATAAAAATTGATTAAGTGGTTTAGAAGTTATGATGGAGAAACGAGTTTTTTTATAAACTTTGACGGAAAGCGTCTCTGCGAGGAAACATTTTTGAGCAAATATTTCAGAAACAAAGACCCAAATCAAAATTTTACAGGAGTAAATTATTTCTCTAAATTAAAAACTTGACCTACAAATTTATTTAATATTTTAAAATTTTTAGTGGCGTCAAAGACTGAGGTGAAAAGGGGAGAAGTCCCCCCACATTATTATTAAGGCACTGACTATATTACATTTTGTGCCAAATCTGATGAAAATTAATGTTGTGGTTTAAAAGTTATAAAGAGAAAACTAGTTTTTTTGTAATCTTTGACGACCTGTATTTTCCTTAGGAAACATTTTTGAGAAATGTTAATTAATGAAAGTCTACCTTAAAATTAATGTATCACAAACTGGACCGCCCTGTATAATCTTTTTTGAAAATTTTATATAAATTATGTTTCTTTAAAAAAAATTATCGCTCGTTCCAATATGTCCACTCAAAAAAAAGTTATAAAATTAAAAGTAAAAAAAAATTCCTATGTTATTTAAACGTTACATTTATTATATGTCTAATTTCAACTTTGAATAACTATTAAAGGAGTGAATTTACGAAAAAATTATAAGAGACATTTTTTGTAGAACGTTCAATTTTCTTCAAAAATATATAGAGTTTATTCCAATATGTTACATTTATTATATGTCTAATTTTAACTTTGAATAACTATTAAAGGAGTGAATTTACGAAAAAATTATAAGAGACATTTTTTGTAGAACGTTCAATTTTCTTCAAAAATATATAGAGTTTATTCCAATATGTTCACTCAAAAACGAGTTATAAAATTTTAAAGTTAAGAAAAAAGAATTCCTGTGTTATTTAAACGTAAAATAGAAATTCACGATGAGCGACCTCTAAATATTAATATTAAGAGCTACAATTTTCACAGGCTTCTTTTTTTACTACTAGGAAGATATTTTAATGCGGGCTTTGAAGAAAAAAAATATTCGATTTTTTTGAACCAGTCTATTGTACATATTACATAATTTGTAATTATTTTTTGTTATAATTTTTTTCTCTCTTATGTTTTAGAGCTGAATTTGTATTTTTAGAATAAAATACAAAATTTAAAAAATACGTAAAGGTGTTTTTATAACAGATCATTTAAAGCATACATCTTTTTGTATAATCGTACACCACTCTAATTTTGTATTTCCTTTATTTTTAGGTATTAGTCAGTTGGCGGCGAAGGATGGCAAACATCTAGGCGACCCTGAGGTGCTTAGACGTCTGACATCGAGCGTGTCCTGCGCGCTAGACGAGGCCGCCGCGGCGTTGACGCGCATGCGATCGGACAGCAGTCGCGCGCAGCAGCCCGAGAAAACTTCGCTGGTCGAGGCGTGCACCGACGGCGATGTCGGCACCGTTCGCAAACTGTTGACAGAGGGCAGGTCGGTGCACGAGACGTCAGAGGAGGGCGAGAGCCTTCTGTCGTTGGCCTGCAGCGCGGGATACTTTGAATTAGCACAGGTACATTAAAGACATTGCAAAAATAATTTCATAAGAATGTTTGTTTATTTTTGTTACGTCAAGCAGTGACTGGATATTTAAAATTTACGGAATAATTTATAGCCCAAAAATATTGATTCCTCGAAAAAAAAAAATTGATAAAGCGGATATTTTGGGAAACATAAATCTTTCTTTACGAACTATAAAAAAGTGTTTTAATTGCTAGGAATGCTTTATAGCATTTAATTTTACTATTTTACTGTTTGGTCCCCGATTCCACGGCAGAAATTTTACGTTTCTTGCATTGGTCAAGCTATACGCGCACACTCTATAATAGCGGGAGTAAAAATTTTTTAGTCGTGTGCTCAACATATGCAACTCTGATTACGACACTAATATAACCTCAAAATTTGGGCAGGCATCAATATGTTTCGATATACACATTTAATTTTTTCCCGTATTTTCGGCCGAGGTAGTAAGAAAAATAGTATACACTACACGGGCAGAAAGTGTGAGAGCCCTGAACTGCGCGCCATGATGCCCGAGGCGAAGCAGGAATCTCACACTTTCTGCCCTAGTAGTATAATATACTATTAATGCTCATTGCGAATTTCTTTCGCATTGCGGTAAGTCCCCGAAAAAATCAACTTCCACACAACATTCAGTTAACTGAAAAATTTTGACTAAAATAGATACATTTAGTAATTGTTTTTAATTTAAACTAAACTAACTGTTATTACTTTTATTCATATAATATATTATGTACATATCATATTATATTAATATATTTTCAGGTTTCCAGTTTTGTTTCAAAATTTTATAATTTTTTTCTTTTTTCCATTTTTTTCCGTTTAATCTTTAGCAGTGACCCGTGAAATTATGGAAGTTCCCGGTGATTTTGTTACTTGGTTATAAAATACCTAACTTATTTTTTAAGTTTTATAAAAAAATAATTGACGCATGTTAAAAATAAGAATCAACATGGGATGACATATGTAGACAAATACCTTTTTAATAAAAAGTTTTTATAAAAACAATAAAATAAAGATGTCCGCGGTAAATTTCGGGTTTAAATTTGAAATTACTCGAAATAAGACTGAGCTGCATGTTAAAGTGGATGCTCGTAATCCTTTGGGACATCAATTGAGAAATTTTTGATCGCCGCACGAAGATTTTTCTCTGCTTTCCAGGCACATTAATCGTGCTCCATCGGTAAACACGGGCAACATAACGCCGTCATAAGTAAAACCGTTGTATCTAAACCAATTTTATTTTATTTGTTTAAATATAAAAATTAAAAATTATTAGGGTAAAATTTACCCGGTAAATTCAAAACGCGACATTTTAAATTAACTATGTAAAAACTTTAAACAAGTATTATCTTAATTGTCTACGTAATTTAAAAACAAATAATCCATAATTCACAGATCCGAAACGGTTTTGTGTTAGTTTTTTACGTTATAAAACAATATATAGGTATTTTAAACCAATTTTAGTTGTATTAAAAATTTTCCTTGTAAATATGTGGTTAGTTATTTTAATAAATTTCACAATACTGATAACAAAGCTTTACACCTTTACCTAGTTATATCATAAAAATTAAAAAAATATTATCTGTTTAGGATAAAAATCTCTTATATTATATAGAACACAAATATTTAAATAATGAATTTGACGCGGCGTGATGTTTTAAAAATTAATTAATATTTTATAATTTGTTATTTAAATATTGAATTTGAATGTCAATATCAGAAGCTGAATTTATTTATGTTATTTTAAGGTAAACTTTATTTATATAAACATTTCTGTGGGTAAAAGGCATAAGGGGATAAGTCAAAAAAAGGAATTTTTCAATAGAGCCTTTAAAGTGATCGCATTAATTCAGGAAATATATTTATGTTTAAAATTTTTATGTGGTACTTTTTTATTATTACTTACAATCAAAAGAGTACTGTATTCCTTTATAGAGCCGACGATTTTTCCTTTAAATTCATAACCAAATTAATTGTAATATTGTCAAAACTGGACAACACAACTGTTTATTTATTGTATTAACTTTACTTATAAAATATCAAAAATAACTTAATTTTAACTTATTTTACTGTTTTTAAGATCTTTCTGTCGTATATTAATTATATTTATTTTAATTTGATGTCAAATTTAGTGATTTTTTACGCCTTTAATAAGAAGGCGGTGATTGCAAGACCGCAGTACATTGTTGACACATTCTCAATTCAATGTTACATAACAAAAACAAAATATACTAAAGAAGTGGCGCCACCACCGTAAAAAAGGCTTTGTTTCAAAGCTACAGCTTTTAATAAGCAGCCGTCAAACGCTTATGCTACAAACGAGTGTTTTTGAGAATAAGGTCGGTAAATGTTAAAAATATCGAGAGAAAAACTGGAACGATTTGTTTGTTTTTCGAAAGGAATTCCGGGGTTGAGTTTTTACCGGTTTCTCAATAAATAGGGGGAATCCAAATGAAGAAATAAATTGCTTAAAGTCCCTGTAAATATTAATTGTATCTATTAGATATAATAAATACATATTTTATTAATTTTACTTGAAAATTGTAAACATTTAAATTCAGAAAATGATATTATAAATTATTAAAAGCGTTGATTGAGAAAGTCTTCACTCAACGGTATATGACCGGGTATTATATTATGTATTATATATATAATATTATGTTGCCATGAATTCGTGGATATATTTTGTCTTTTACTTTTTTAAAATGCATTTTTTTAGAAGACTCAAATATAAAAATGTTTGATTTTAAGGTTAGGTTAATAAATAATTAAAGGGTGGGCCATGTTTATGTTGAATTATAAAATAGCAATGAGAACAAGAAAAACTGATTTTTTTTTCAACGAATTTTATTTTATTTGATACAATGTTTCTTCCGATTAAGTATGGAAAATGATTTTATTTAAGTGGCCACCTCAGCTGGCTCCGCAGTAGCCCATCCTGGAACACCAATTTTCGAGCACTTTGTCAAAAGTTTGCTGCACTATTTAGGCAATTTGAGCTTGAATCTTTTGTTTTAAATGGTGAATAACATAACCTCCGAGGTAAAAATGCGCCTTATCCGAAAAGATGATTTTTCTTGCAAAATTCGTTCAACTGGTTTAAAGCCCACTCAGCAAAGCGAAAGCGTTGTGGATGGTCAACTTGCTTTAACTCCTGAACAAGCTGGACTTTGTACGCAAACATACCGAGGTCTTTGTGCAGAATCATCCTCAGAGTGGTACGGGAAAGGCCGAGTTGTTGACATCTGCGCCGAGTTGATGTTGACGCGTTCATGCGTACATTTTCGGCCACAGCAGCGATTGCTTCAGGTGTACGTCTAGGACGAGCATGCGAAACATGTTTTATGTCCACCAGCATTCCATTTCTGCGCAATTTTTTGATCAAATTTGTAATAATTTGGTTTGACGGCGCCTCATTACTTCCAAACGCAATTTTCTTGCCGTCTCTGTGATCACAGTCACATTCAAAGTAAGTTTTGAGTATTATGAAACGTTGATCCAAATTTATTTGGTGCATATTTTGTAATCGGAAGGTTAAAACTAAACCACTATCAACAATTCATGGCGCTTAAGTTGAAAGCTTCATTAATAGCACGTAGTTTAAAATTCAACTTATAGATGGCCCACCCTTTATAACTATTATTTTGTGTTAGATGCCTTAAAAATGTCAAAACTAATAATTTTTGTTTGTGTCAGTTGCTAATAGCTTAAGGCTGGCGCGTACCCTTCAATATTATTGATGGGTCACCGTCGTTGACGTTTTTTTGTAATTTTGACTTTTCGTCCGTAAGCATCGTTTGTTGCAGATTATTATAAATAATTTTATACACTGTGTTCATGATATTCTACCACCGGATTGTGCAAACAATGTTACAAGGCTTGTTGGCAACGCCAACAGTTATTAGATTGCGGAGGCATTGCGCCCTTAATAATATGGGGAAATAATCAGACCCTAAGTCTGACCTGGTTCGCTCTGACGACAAAGACGAGTACTTTAGTATTTTTGTGTTTCTGGTAATTTAGTATTTTTTTGTTATGTACATAAGTAATAAAAATGTAATAAACTCCATTTGTTTCCACTCTAAACACATTTAATCAAAATTTGCATGTAACAAACTCCTAGTTAGTTAGTTTGGAAGATTATAACAATGATGTTATAATTTTATCCTAATAAACAGCCCCCACGGCTATAAACAGTCAACAATACACGAGCGTTAGATTGTGCCAGGGCACGTATGAATAGATCTTATCGCTGACGTCATATGCCGTTGATGACGTGCACCCATGCAGATTTGGACTATACGCTAAAGAAGCTTCGGGCTTTCGCAACGCGCTCGCCATAGCATTGTGTGAATTGTCAAAAATACATGTATAGCATACGAACTGCACATCATTTTTTAATAAATAAGTCGTTTTTTTACAAAAGAGAGGAAGTTAGAAGTCTTAAGCCTAATTTATAGATTACCTTCCTTCCTTCCTCCCGTAGAAGCACCCGTGGTGCTGTTTAAAGATTCCCGTACGGGAATCTATAAATGGCACTACGATTTTCGTATTGTTCATCTTTTACGGGAGGAAGGAAGGCAATCTATAAATCAGGCTTTATTCGACAAATTTTGTTCAATTGCACAGCTAAGTCGCGCACGTTATTTGTGTTGCAAGTAAAAACTAAAATTTTTTATTTTAGTGCTCAATTTAGATTTATTATTTCTTATTTTATTAAGGGGTTACATACATATGAGCTCGTAAAAATTAATGGGTTTTGGTGATTTTTTTTAATAATAACTAAATTGAAACGAACTATAAAGCATTGAATAGGGTATGTTTCGAAGTATTTGTAAAAAAGATGTATGCGAAAATATGGAAAATTGTGGAAAATACAGCCCTTGCCCCAAAACGTCTTTTTTTTCCAAGCGTTTGCGGTGAGCATAAAATATCGAAAACCGCCAAACAGATCTTAATGAAAAAAAATCCATATTAGTTTCGAGAACTAAGGGTTTAAAATTAAAAAAAAAATTTCACGCAAATTGCGGTGATTTTCCCAAAACAAATCGTGCCACGGTTTTTTTTTCGACATTTTCCGCCTTTATTCTCAAAAACACTCGTTTGTCACATACGCGTTTGACAGATTACAAAAAGATGATTATTAAAAGTTGTGGTTTTGTTACGATGTGGTGGCGCTGCTAGCGATACTTCTTTAGCGTATAACTAAATTTATTATAACCCTTAATCATAACCTTAAAATTGGTTATGTCAAACATGTTGACAGCCGAAATGTTTATTCATCGCTATTGTTGTTTAATACTTGTGTTTTATAGTGCGTTCTTTGTCGCCATGATCGTGTTAATGTTGTTTCAGGTGTTGTTAGCCATGCACGCGAACGTGGAAGACAGAGGCATCAAGGGCGAGTGCACTCCGTTGATGGAGGCCGCCTCGGCCGGGCACCTGGACATCGTGAAGCTGCTGGTAGCGCACGGGGCGGACGTTAACGCGCAATCTACCTCGGGCAACACGCCGCTGATGTACGGTTGCGCGGGCGGACACACCGAGGTGGTCAAGTTTTTGCTCGAGAACGGCGCCAATGTGGAAGATCACAACGAGAACGGGCACACGCCCCTGATGGAGGCCGCCAGTGCGGGTCACGTCGGCCTGGCCAAGATCCTCCTCATGCACGGCGCCGGCATCAATACCCACTCCAACGAGTTCAAGGAGTCCGCTCTCACATTGGCCTGCTACAAAGGTGAGTAATACGACTTTAAAAACTGGGGACTAATGGGTATTTCCATTGTAACGGGTGCGACACTAAAAATGCGTTTTTTCATGATAATAAAGTGTTTGTTCATATAAACTGATCGAAAAAAGTTAAGGATATTGTGAATTCTCTGGGAAAAAAATAGGTTTCAAAAAAATTTGTATAACGTACATTTCCTGTCATCTTTTTTAGAAATAAAACACATTTGATTAACTGAAAAAATATTTTAATTAAAATTTACAGGCAACTTTTCTCTTACAATGTAACAAAACAGATAATTATCAAAAAGAAAAAAATATTAATAGCGTGTAATTTCACCTCTGCTGGCTATTACTGCTTCAACTCGGCGAGGCATGCTTAAAATTAAACGATCCAAGTAATTTTGATCCAAGGTATCCCATAAATATGGAAGAACTTGCATCAGTGACCTGAACAGGAGGTTGATGCCCTTCCGAGCATGTCCCAACCATGCTCGATGCAGTTTAAATCTGGAGAGAGCGGGGGTAATGGCAAATGATTTATTTCATGGAATGCTGGCCGTTCTTGTACTACCCTGGCTCTGTGCGGGCGAGCGTTTTCATTCAGAAATCTGAAATTGGGCTCCAAATTTCAACGATAATCATCCACAATGTTATCAATGATGTCGTGAACGGCTAGCATTCCATGAAATTAATCATTTGCCATTACCCCCGCTCTCTCCAGATTTAAACTGCATCGAGCATGGTTGGGACATGCTTGGAAGGGCACTAATTGCCCATCAACCTCCTGTTCAGGATGTAAGGTCACTGAGGCAAGTTCTTCCATATTTATGGGATACCTTGGATCAAAATGACTTGGATCGTTTAATTTTAAGCATGCCTTGCCGAGTTGAAGCAGTAATAGCCAACAGAGGTGGAATTACACGCTATTATTAATTTTTTTCTTTTTGATAATTATCTGTTTTTTTACATTGTAAGAGAAAAGTTGCCTGTAAATTCTAATTAAAATATTTTTTCAGCTAAACAAATGTGTTTTATTTCTAAAAGAGATGAGAGTAAATGTACGTTATACAATTTTTTTTGAAAACTATTTTTTTCTCAGAGAATTCACAATATCTTTAACTTTTTTCGATCAGTTTATATCAAGATACGTTAATATAAAAAAATAGTAGGAAAAATTAGGTATTTAACTCAAACTAAATGTCAATAAAAACTTGTATGTAAAACCTTTTATAACGTCATGAATAGCGTAACGGGCGCGACCTTAGAAAATCGGCAAAGGCGACCAAGTTGGCTTCTAAAGTTGATACTGTAAAATTTTGGATGAAAGCATATAGTGATAATTTTTTGTGTAAAACTTTAATTGTAACGTATTTTAAGCACGTATTTTAAATACACAAAAATTGCATACTTTATTTTCTAAAACTTTCACAAAATGTAACGGGTGCGACATTTGAACATTTTATCGAGTATTGAAACTCTTCCGTGTTTATTCTTAATGTTAGCTTCTTAACATTACAATGTACGAATATTGTAAGGTTATAAATTGCGTCTAAATTAAACTATTTGACTTCAGATAAAGTTGTTATTTGTTTTTATACATTTATACATTAGTGACATAGAGTTTCTTCAAGTAAAAGTCGAAACAGTAATAAAATACAACACATGTTAATTGTTTGTTGCAGGTCATTTAGATATGGTAAGGTTCCTGCTGGAAGCTGGTGCAGATCAAGAACACAAAACCGACGAGATGCACACGGCCCTCATGGAAGCGTCGATGGACGGGCACGTGGAAGTGGCCAGGCTGCTTCTCGATTCTGGCGCCCAAGTCAACATGCCGACCGACAGTTTCGAGTCGCCGCTCACATTGGCGGCTTGCGGCGGTCACGTCGATCTCGCGATGCTGCTAATCGAAAGGGGCGCGAACATCGAGGAGGTGAACGACGAAGGTTACACTCCGCTGATGGAGGCGGCGCGCGAAGGACACGAGGAGATGGTGCACCTGTTGCTCGGTCAAGGAGCCAACATCAACGCTCAAACCGACGAAACGCAGGAGACCGCTTTAACGTTGGCATGCTGCGGTGGTTTCACCGAAGTGGCCGATATTTTGTTGAAAGGGGGCGCGGATATTGAGTTGGGCGCTTCGACACCTCTAATGGAAGCCGCCCAGGAAGGACACCTAGATCTGGTTAAGTTCTTGCTCGAGAACGGCGCCAACGTGCACGCCCAAACTCAGACCGGCGACACTGCGCTGACGTACGCTTGCGAGAACGGGCACACCGACGTGGCCGATCTTTTGCTGCAGTACGGCGCCGATTTGGAACACGAATCGGAAGGCGGCAGGACGCCGTTGATGAAAGCTTGCCGCGCCGGCCACCAGTGCACCGTGCAATTTCTCATTTCCAAGGGTGCCAACGTGAGGAGGCAGACCACCAACAACGACCACACCCCTTTGTCTTTGGCCTGCGCCGGCGGGCACCTATCCGTGGTGGAGCTGCTGCTCACCCACAACGCCGATCCCAACCACAAGCTCAAAGACAACAGCACCATGCTAATCGAGGCGGCCAAGGGCGGCCACACGAACGTCGTGCAGCTGCTGTTGGACTATCCGCACTCGATGCAGCCGATCCTGCTGAACCAACAGCACCAGCAGCAGCAGGGCCCCGCCGGGGCCACCGCAGCCACCAACGTGTCCATGCTCCCAGGCCAGGTTGGTGCTGCCGGTAGCCGAGATTCGCCCCCTAACTTGCCCCCTCAACCCATCAACTTCTTTCAACCGCCCTCGGCCCCGGTTCTACAGCAGGTGCCTGAAGCTGTCAAAATTGTCCACAGGGTAAGTACATACACTACTATTAAATAGGGCTCCCACACCTCCTAAAACTCATAAAATATTAAAACTCTAAAATTGCCATCAATCTCCTAAAACTTCTAAAAATAAATATAAATAGGCCAACCTGACTGCGTTTAATTAATGTAGTTGTGCTAAAAAAATCTTTTTTAAAAAGTAATTTAAAAAATTTATATTTTTAGGTTCTAGTTTATTAAATTATTTTTTAAATGATATATCACAACCTACATTTTTCTTAAAAAACAACAAAATATACCAAAAAAAACAAAATCCATGTAGTAGCTCCTAGATTTCACAACTTTGTCATTTTTAACCATATTTCGTTTGTTTTCGACAAAAATATACCTTCTACAAAAGGATTTTTAATTTTTAAGGATAGCTAAAATAGTAAACAATAGACTGGGCTAAAAAAATTGACTATTTTTTTTTAAAAGTATATCGAAAATATTGTTTGGAATGACAAAAAAAAAATGGTGAAAGTTTGAGTCCATAATATTAATATTAAGAGGTCTATCATCGCAATTTTAGATTTTTTTTTCCTGAGCGAGTTTTTGTCTCAGAACTCCCAAATCATTGAGTTTAACAAAATTGACTTAAGAGTATTTTTTGAAGAAAATTGAATGCTCTACAAAAAAGGTTTGATTGGAATTTCCCGTCAGATGAACCGTTTTCTTACAATCATGCTTTAAAAATTGGTATAGTTTTATAATTTGATCTTTTAACTTTGGAATTTCAAAAAAAAATAGTCGATTTTTTTGGCCCAGTCTAATATACCATGTTACTATTAGTTTAGTTTTATTTCAATGTTTTTTCACGGATAACTTGACAATAACTTTTTAAATATTTATTATTGCAAATTTTTAATTTAACTACAAAATCGTTCCTACTTAAAATTTTTCAATAACATTTAGTTTAGGATCGTTTTGAGGGGTGCACCATGGTGAACCCAATGCCGTGCATAGATTTTTGTTTTAAATCGTTAAAAATTTATTCTCAAAAACTGACATAGTAGGCCTTGTATTTTTACAAAATACTGTTTATCCATACTTTAAAACAAATCCGGTTAAAATCGCACAATAAATGAGCAAGGTCAACAATCTCCCGTCAGACTAAAACTGAGTAAATTGAGATAATTGATTTTGGTATTTTAAATTCTAGATATGTAATTTTTTATATACAGTATGTCTCAGTTTCTTGGAATCATATGGAACACTTTTATATTATTAATTTTAGGAAAAAAAGTTATTCTTCATAAAAAGTTCTGCATGGTGTAAAACTTAAAATGCAACCCACAAATATTACTTTTTTTTAGTCGTATACGGGGTATGTCAAAAAATATGAATTTGGCGCAAGAGTAAAGTACCTTTATATTTGACAATATCGAAAATTGTTATAAAGAAAAGTTAATCAAAACTAAAAACTACGTTTAAATATGCAATTTCATACACTTACATTAAAAAATTAGGTTTTGTTAATTTTTACTAATCTTTCTATTTTAAATGAACATTTATCTGTTATGATTAGAAAAAACATGAAAACCTTAAGTTAAGTCAGGGGATCTAGCAGGCCAAAAAGTATTAGAATATCAACAAATCATTTGTTTATCAGTGCATCCTAGATTACATGTTACAGTTAAATTTGCATTGATATTGTAGACAAAAAAGAAAAAATATTTTTTTTAATGTAAATGGATCTAATTGCATATTTGAACGTAGTTTTTAGTTCTGATTAACTTTTCTTTATAACAATTTTCGATATTGTCAAATATAAAGGTACTTTACTCTTGAGCCAAATTCATATTTTTTGACTTACCCCGTATACGACTAAAAAAAAATAATATTTGTGGGTTGCATTTTAAGTTTTACACCATGCAGAACTTTTTATGAAGAATACCTTTTTTCCTAAAATTAATAATAAAAAAGTTTTCCATATGATTCCAAGATACTGAGACATACTGTATATTATATTGAAATATTGTTGTTTGTTAGTCTAGTATTCAACTACAAGGTCTCCAGGATGCATAGTATAGGTGAAATCTATAATTATAAATTGGAGATTGCTGACTTTGATATGAATTGCTGGAGATTGCTCATTTTGTTGTAAACGTTTAAGGAGATTTAGAAAAATAAACAAAAAAATAATTGTATTTTTATTCCTTTAATGGTTATAAAATTTAACTATACAATCAATGTGGGAAAATTCTGAACTGGACCACATAAATCTGGAGTTTCTTCTAAATCTGGGACCAGGTAGCCTTGTGCAAAAAAATTTTTATAGTACAACTCATCATCACCTTCCCACTTTGCTTCGTAATGTTTTACTTGCAATGTTTTGACATTATCAGCATTTTCTTGCTTTACCTTTTCGTCTTATTATGGTATAATAGCACAAAATAAACAAGATAACTTTTTTATAATTCTTAAAACAATAAAACGTAGATTTACCTATTTTAAATATATTTTTTAAGTGCAATTTACTGCAATAGAACTTAACAGTATGTACCAGTAAAAAAACACTAAAATACGTTATTCACATAACTTTAAATGTTAGTATATCAGGTGACACAAATTACTAATTTCTAAGGGTGGAATTGGAGATTGTATACTTTGCTGCAAATCTATCAGTGGAGATTGTCGACTTTGTCATTTTTAAAATAGGATTTTAGGCAGGATTTAGCTCCTTTTGCAGCACATACACTTTATCATCTTAGATAATTAGTTGAAGTATAGTCTCCGCGAAAAATCTAATTTTTGACCAAAAGTGGAGATTGTCGGTTTTGCTATGACAGGCCTCAAATAAAGATTTGACATGGGCGAGTCGCAAACAAATGGGTCACACTGTATAAAAAGTAATAATTATTTTTCTTTATTGATACGTAATTATACGTATTTTGGGCACTGCTGTTGTCAACATATACTTACTTTCGACTCCTTCAAATTATTCTATATTAAATTTAGCAGGAAGATACGAACAATCCGTCGATCGACGTGAACAACAAGCAGCAGCAGCAGCAGGTGCAGGCGGGCGCGGCCGGCAACGCACGACTCTTTGAGCCGAGCACGAAGATCTTCGCGCGCAAGAACGTGCTGCCGAAGAGCCGATCGTCGGGCGCCGTGTTCGACGCGAATCTCACTTCGGCCGAAGCGCAGCAGGTGCGTACCCAACCCCTCGCCCAGTTACCCGACGAAGACGTGTTCTCCCTAAACACCGCCAAGGAGTTCCTTAACAAAGAAGACTCGAACAGCACCATCATGGAATTCATCAAGAGCCGCAAGAAGCAGTATCCGGCCACGGGCGGCGCGCCCTCCTCCGCCCTGGCCGACGACGGTAACAAACACAAGCAGCAGATACTCGAAGAACTACACGTAAGTGCTTTGGAATACTATTTTTTCTCTGTGTACTCACACAACAAATGAAGGGGTCAATGCAAGAAGTGCCTTAGTGACAAATAGGTGATTCTGAGATATTGCGGTTTGAAGGTTTATTTTTGATTAGGAAATATTACACAAAATATTATGATGAAAATGTGTGTTGTATTGCATTATTTGTGAAAAGTGGATTGGACTTCCATGATTAAAAAAGAAAAAACGTTTTGTTATATCAAAAAAAATATATAAAATAATTTGGGACTTGGGCACTTTTTGTGTTGAAATGTTTTTATTTTGTAAAAAATTAAGGGGTATTTTGAGGAAAAATAGGTTTATTATATTATAAGGCCGTAAAAAAATATAAATTGTGAACAAAACTTAAGACTAAGGCATAACCAGGGCTCCCACACCTCCTAAAACTCATAAAATTCCTAAAATTTGGCTTAAATCTTGAAAACTCCTAAAATTCTCCTAAAATTGCATTCAATCTCCTAAAACTCCTAAAATCCTAAAAATTAAATTTAAAGAAGCCAACCTGACTGCGTTTAATTAAGGTAGTTGTTGTGCTAAAAAAATCTTTTTTAAAAAGTAATTTAAAAATATATATTTTTAGATTCTATTTTATTAAATTCTTTTTGAAATGATATAATATCACAACCAAAATTTTTCTTAAAAAACAACAAAAAAAAACTTTTACAAAATTGACATTTTTAGTCATATTTCGTTTGTTATATATCAAACAAAAGGATTTTTAATTTCTTTTAAATGACAGCTAAAATAGTGAACAATCTAAAGAATGTTTTGCTGTATTTTGCAAATTTCATATTTTTTATGAGATTTTTAAGTAATAAGATCCACATTACAATTGAATCGGTGAGAATAAGAACAGTACAAGTCCAAAAATTTAATGTTGACCATTTATTTTCTAAAATCAATTTTAAAGTTTAAAATACATTTTTATGAGAAGAAATAAATTATTTTACAGAATATGAATAGTTAAAATATTCTAACAAAAATGCATTTAAAATTATAAAACTGATTTTTGAAATATTTTATTAAAAATTTTACTTTTGGACTTGTACTATTCTTAATCTTACCGATTCAATTACTGTTAGTTATTAAATAAACAGTTAACATATTTGTTTTTAAAATATAAATCATCATTTGATTTTGGCCTAGTTTTTTATCCAAATCTATCAACGCATTTTTTTAAATAAAATTAAAAGTTTGGTGAAATTTATACTTGTATAAAAAAGTTTTAATTTTACTTCACTTTTAATTTTATTTAAAAAAAAACTCGTCAACCGTTTTTTCTAAAAAACTAGTCCATATAACTTATTTTTACAAAAGAAGTATTAATTTTTGTCTTATTTTTTAAGTAGTAAAGAGTTGTTTTTATTTAATTAAAGAAATTCATTTCCATACTTTATTTATCCTAAAATTTTACAAAAAACCTCCTAAAGTCCTAAATAAAATTTGTAATTTAGCCGTGGGAGCCCTGCATAACTTAGGACATAACTTAAAGCAAAACTAAGAATATAATAAGAAGGTTGGCTATTCATAAACAGCGTCGGCCTCTTGTAACTGATCAATTTCTTTATCAATGACATCATTTTGCTGGATTATACTTCCATTTTCAGACAAGGTTCGAGCAAAAAAACGGTAACTGGTATGTTTTAAGGTTCCACAATCTATTTTATTTTACATTACTTACCTTAGTTATGTTTTTAATCACAGACACAAATTATTTTGATTTACACAGTTTAATAGGTAATTTGCTCAGTTATAACCTAATTTAAATAACATAGACTAAGGCACATGTGAAAATGATGACTTCTTGCATTGAAAACCAGGCAAACTCCCATTGAAGTAAATGCAAACTAAGGCACTTAGACACCTATTTCTGCCACTCTGCATATACCACCTGAAAGATGAAGTGAAACACTTTTAGATAGCGCCACAATGTCAATTTTATTGAAAATGTGACTTGGGCACTTCTTGCAATGACCCCTTTAAATATAATAATTATTGTAAACAAGTATTTAAATTTATTTAAGTGTTGAAATAATTTTATTTTATTACATTAATTTAGAGAGTGGAACGCGAGCTTCACGGAAAACAACAGTCAGGGTTTCCATACCAAATCCCTCAAGAACAGTGCCCTTCGTCAACAGTTTCTACTACACTGCCGCATATGCTAAACATTGACATAGGTAAGTTGATTATCCTTGAAAACAACACTTTAATCCAGGGTTTTTCTTTTTTCACATTAAATACCCTATTGCTTGCTTACAACAGAATATTTTAACTGCATATTATTTAGTCAATTACATGATGCACCAAGTGTAAATTTAAACAAGAATAATTTTGCACCATTTGGGAAAACTAGATAGTTGAAAATCACAAATCTTCAAATGTTTTTGATCTTCAGTGTATCTCAAGTTTTTATATTTTTTTACAATGGATTTAACCATTTCAGCTATTGAAATTTCGATCCATCTATTTTTGCAAAAATCCACTTATCCAATTTTTCCCAAACAGTGCAGAATTAATATGACATTCTATACTATTTTGCAAAGACTATCTAAATTTAATAATTTAAAATATGTATACACCAGTTTTGACATGTCCCATCACCCATCCCTGCCATTATTAGAAAGTAACCAACTCCAACTAAATGCTTGAGTTTTTCATTGCAATTTTATTACTTTTTACAGACTAACTTGTATCATAACAACACAGTTTTGCTTGCAATTAGTATACATAAATAATACAGGTCTAAAAAATTTAACCAAATTTCCATAACAGAAATTAGACTATACTTTTCTGAAGGTTTTTGGTATGCTGAATTCGAATTCAAACTCAGAATTGCTCCATTGCGTCAAGTTTTAAATAAATAGTAATCCAAAAGTGGAAAAACGCGTTTTGATATTGTTTTCCACAAAACTCATCAAACCATCTAAACGTCCTTTTTAAAATTCTTTTTGAATTCTTTCAAAATATTTTTTCCTTTTTGAGAAATCAATGATGATGAAATTAATGAAGGTCGAATTTGGATTCAGCACCTCCAAAACCTTCGGAAAAATCTAGTCTTTTTACTACTAAAAACTTTATACACCTGTGTAATTTAACAGATTTTCTTTTAAATCAACCCTTTTTTTGTTGTGTAAGATTTTTTAACCAACTTTTTGATTTAAACAAAAACAGCAATTTTACTCTTTTAACATCATTTTTGTATATGGCAAATTTCACTATAATTGTTAGTTAACAAAAATTTTATTTTTAAATATAGACCCAAAATATTTAATTTTACAAATTTAAACCAACTTATTTGGCAAAGAAAGTAATCCGTCAGTCAACTTTGCTATGATATCATCATCCACTTAGCCATGTTAGCTTACTACACTCACAGGCAAAATAATCGATCCACACAAATTTTCGATGAATTTCAATTGCAAATAACTTTTTTATTTGATTTCGGATTTAAACAAATATTAAAGAATATTGTAGATACATTAATGGAGAATCGCTCACATTTTAAAAATTTACTAAAAAATTGACCTACGTTTATAATATACAGGTTTAAACAAAAAGATGTTATTTACCATAAGTTTAAGACACTCTGTAGAGTCGCAAAACCTTATATTGTTCCAAATTAAGTTTTAATTATCAAGTCACATCTATTTTTAACAGTTTTGTTTTTGGTTCACCTTGATATATTTATTTTTGTGGAAAATATACGGTTTTGCCACTCTACAGAGTGTCTTAAACTTATGGTAAAAAACATCTTTTTGTTTAAACCTGTATATTATAAACGTACATTTATTTCTTGGTAATTTTTTAAAATGTGAGCGATTGTACATTAATTTATCTACAATATTCTTTAATATTTGTTTAAATCCGACATCAAATAAAAGAGTTATTTGCGATTGAAATTCATCGAAAATTTGTGTGGATCGATTATTTTGCCGGTGAGTGTATTTTGAAAAAAAAGTAGGATGCAAGACATAATTTTAAAAATAAAACACGTATCAGTTGAGTTAGTTGATTGTTTTAAATCCTGCGCCACAAAAAAAGTATTTATACCTATGCAATAGATTTAGACAACTTGTTTGCACGTATGAGTAAATTTAAACAAAAAAAGCATGTTGGTTATAAACAAACAAAAAATACGTAAATGGCATTGTCAGGGCTGGGTGCTGGTGGCATGTCGGGTGGTGCGGCCATATTTCCCGGCGCTAGTCTACAACTGCAGAATGCTTTCTACGCAGGCCCGCCGCCGTGTTTGCCGTCGTCGTCCTCGTCGGCTTCTTCGTCGTCGGCGTCCTCCGGGGCGTCGGCTTCGTCGCCGCAACAGCAACCGGGACAAACGGCAGGACAGCAGCAGCAGCAGCAGGCGTTTTACTTCGCTCCAGGGGCGAGCGTAGCCGTTCCACTGTCCACTGCCACGCTCAGTGCTGCCACCTCCACGCAACCCATCAAGTTTCAGAGTATAGCCTCGCACGCTGAAGTCAGTCAGGTACGTGCAGAGTTCGATGTATGTACAATAACAATTGGTTTTTGTGAGATGAAAGCAGTTTTATTGTCAAATTAAGGACGATTAAAAAAATCCTATTTTTACGCTACTTTAATTATTGCCCATAAAACTGCTCTTGTCTTAATTGCTTTAAAATATTAGGTATATAGAAAATATAGCTTTAAAATAAATTAAAATAAATTTTATTATTTCAACATTATATTTGAGATACAGTAATGACCAAATTGTAAACATATTTACCTCGATATTAACTTGTTTTAAGTATTGTTTTTAAACATTTTATAGGGTTTTATTCTTGAGTATACATTTAATTAATTTTAAAAATACTGCTTTCTAAATGCTGATGAAGTAAAATTGCTTCTTAGTGTATTAAAAGTAAATGGAGGTAAACATTAAATTTACATTATATTTAAGTTCATATATCTGAATATTACATTACACCTTAACAATTCATACTAAATGTGTCACCACATTTGTCAATTAAATAAAATTTAATATTATAAATGCTTATTATGAGGTTTTAAAACGTTTTCTTGTTGGTTATTTAATTTTTGTTGTGTGTGTAATAAAAATAAAAGAACTTTAAAAAAATTATATGACCGTACTTGACTTAATTGAAATTTGTTTACTTACAGTTAACAATAACATTAGTACATTCTACACATTGAACTCTTACGAATTTATTAAACACTTTTGTTTAGAATGATATGACTAATACCTAATATATTTATTGTTTAAACATAATAATATTATGTCGTATTATTTATGTAGGTATATACGGGGTATTCCATACCAAATCGACCACTTTTGAACCCGACCCCTTTAGATTTTGCTGAAACTTTTCCATCCTTTTCTACCCTTTGAAAAACATTTTTGAAAATTTTTTCAAATTTTTTTGTCCAACCTCAAAAAAGTTATGAATTTAAAAAAAATACCTTTTTTATTTTCAAATAGCCATAACTTTTTTAGTAATTGACTTATGGGTACCTTTTTTTAATTTTTGTTTTTGAATGAACTTTTCAAAAAAATACACGAAAAAATACACGAAAAAAATTTAACATGATCAATTTTATAAAATAATCGGTTTTTTTTTAGTAAAATCGTCATTTTTTCGAAGTTCGCCATTTTTTTTTTGTTTTTTTTTCTCAAAAAAAACTTCAATTAATTTGACAACTATCCCCGCTAATCCCGGAGTGGGCCGATTTTTTTTAAATTTTTTTAACGTATAATATTTTTTTTCCATTTTTGAAAATTCGACAATTTTTTTTTAGAGGTTGGACAAAAAAATTTGAAAAAATTTTCAAAAATGTTTTTCAAAGGGTAGAAAAGGATGGAAAAGTTTCAGCAAAATCTAAAGGGGTCGGGTTCAAAAGTGGTCGATTTGGTATGGAATACCCCATACATACATATATATTTCATATTTGTTATATGTTTTATATTTTGGATAACACTGTACAACACCAAAATCTAATTTTTTTTCTGAAAATATACCTATACAACAGCAAAACCCTCGCTAGGTTTGTAAAATTTAGCTCGAATTTTTTTTATGGCTGTTTGTATTTTCGATCTTCATATACCCCAATTTAGACTTATAAATCGATTTTTTCGCAATATCGTAAAGATTTTTTGTAGAAATGTAGTTGCTGAACAAATAAACCCATTTTGGGAACAACCTATATCCCAAAACCCAATTATTGGGACCAAATATCCAAAAAATTACCTTTTTTGATAATATTCAAAATTTCTTGCTACTTGTTCTGGCAAAAATGTTGTAAAATGTACTAGAAGAAGTTATTTATAAAATACGCACACTAAACTGAACTTTAAGTTTGCTTATTTGCTGGAAAACAATGTTTGAAGAAGATTTTCCAAAATATTCATCTTTTTACACTCAACACCAAATTTTTTGCTAAAATGTTTGGAAAATCTGTAGGAAAAAATTGAATAGATAAAATAGAATTTTAGATAAGTACAGAGAGTTTGATTTTTTATTTTGTATTAATTTTATTATTAAAAAACTTTTTCATATCAAAACATTGAGTAAATTACATTTTTTAATGGAGTTCTCTTGCAATGAATCAGATTAAATCTGATTCATTGCTAGGGAACTCCATCAAAAAATGTATTTTTTCGAATATTTGGTCCCAAAAATTGGGTTTTGGGATATAGGTTGTTCACAAAATGGGTTTATTTGTTCATTAACTACATTTATACAAAAAATCTTGACGATAGAAACCCAGCGAGAGTTTTGCTATTGAATAGGTATATTTTCAGAATAAAATAGTCCGGTGCGGTTTTCGCACAGTGTAATTTGATTATTTGATTATTAAAATCAAAAATTTGAGATAAAATAATGAAGATGGTATTAAAATTATGGGAGTGAAAATAAATTCAAAAAAGTTGAAATTTTAATATTTAATTTATTTATTGAAAATATTAAATTTTTTTTTCGTTTATTTAGGAAGATATAATATATACAGTATTATACAATAACATTATCATATTTATAAAATACTTGTAAAAAAATCACATAAAAAAAGAATAACATATTTCATGAATAAATTTTCCAAAGCAGCAATTGATGCTGGTACCGGAAATTTCACATTTAAAAAACAATTTTATTTAAATAACATTAAATTCTAAATCCTAAAGAGACTAAAAAACTAATAAAGGGGGGAGTTATTAACTCAATATAATTACAATGTTGTTTATACAGAACACTGCGATAAGCGATCGACCGAAAGCCAAGCCGGTATCGAAGAAAGAAGGAAAAATGTTCCGAAAACAACAACAGCAACAATCACCCCAATCTCAGCAACAACAACAACAACCACAGCAACCCCAGCAGCCGCCGTTAGTCCAGCAGCAGCCGCCGCCGCAACCTTTCAGTCCTACCCAACAAACAATGTACGGTCCGCAGATGAAGGCGCTCAGTCAGCTGCAGCTGCAGTCGCACACCCAACTAGCGCAACAGCTGTTCCAGCAGCAGGGCGACAAGGTGCTCAATCTGCAAGAGACTCTGAGCGTGCAAGGTCTGGATTTAGACTCGCTCGATCAGGATTCTCTGTTGAAAGAGGAGGCCAACGAGAACATCCGTATTGCCTCCATACTGCAGCAAATACACAACCCAGCGTCCCACAAGAACTTTATGCCTGTAAGTTGTTGGACTAAAAAACCCGGCGCGTTATACTTTTTTGTCGAAGAAATAAATTAAATACAATAAATATAGGTTTTTTAAAATTAATGGCACGGTAATTTTTTTTAAAATCCTAAATTTAATATTTTTAATAGCTCATCTATTTAAATGATTTTTTAAAAATGTAGTTTGACTCTTCCGTAACGATGGACATTTTTATTTTGATTTTTATTTCAGCACATTATTTTAGCTTATACATATATACATATAATAACAGCGGATGTCAGTTTTAATCATGAACATTTTATTTTTTCCAAGCGTTATTATTTCTGTAGTTAAACGGTTTTAAATCCAACTCCTCGTCTTATTTCCTCGCGAACCGCTCATCTGATTTTGATGATTTGCTAACGACGCTATAATATACATTTTTATTGAGCATGTACATTGTACAGGGTGTAAAATTAAGAATTTTTCCCCCGAAATTTGTGTTAATTAAAATTTAATTGTTTTTCTGTCTTTTTTGGTTTTTTATTCGCTTTATTATCCCTGTTATTAACAAAGATACACAGTTTTAAAGCAAATGCACCCAATAGAAGTCTTCATAGATTAATAACCTCTGGAAGTCTTTGCATGTGAAGAGAAATAAGTGTAAAGTCAATATACGCTGGAACGGCTATTTTGAAATATGACAGTAAAAGTTGTCATAGGTTGTCAAATGTAGAGATGCGACCTGAAAAATAAGGGCCCGTTTTTTTTTCAGGTTTTTTTCATTGATTTTTTTTTAATGTTTTTTTTTATATTTTAGGTTTTTTTTCGAGATTAGTCCCATTTGCCTAATTTTTTATGTTTCCAGTCCAGTTCATGGACTAAAATTAGGCACTAAATGACATTTAGTACCTAAATGTAAATACAGTCTCGCGCCACCACCACCGAATTGACCAATAAGGACCGCGCTTGTTTTGATTTGGTCCTAAAAAAGTAACTACCTATAATATTTTTGATTCAGCGCTTGACTTTTCAAAAAGCTACCAAAAGCACTTTTTTCATGATGTTTCAAATTTATGTATAGTATGGAAATATTTTTTTTCTTCAAAAAAAACAATAGCAAATCCTTGATTCATTGATGGTTAAGTCGGAACATTATTCGTTAGGATTGAACGTTGCACGTTTTTCATCTAAAAATCTCAAAACTATAGTTTCTATACAAACTTTAAGCTTTTTTATGGCCCCAATACGACCATTTTTAACGAAGATGCAGCTATCCGAAAAATCTCAAAAAAATTGGAATTTTTTGTATCCTTTAATTTTTTCTATTAGTGTAGAAGTTTTACATTGCTATTGGTTTCTTATGTGGAAACTACCAAATATTAAGAAATCAGATTTTTTAGTCTTCAAAATTTTCAATAGGTAATGTAAAATGTAATATATTCTACATTTCATTTTATTATTACATTTTACTCAAAATTTCATTTTGAAAAATTACTCAATTTTTTAAGATTGATGTTATTGATTGACAGAATATGCTTTATTGTAGCGGATTTGAAAAAAACACGTTTTTTTCTAGTTTTTTTATGTTTTTACATCTCTAGTCAAATGAGGAAATACCTTTATCTTTCACGGATATTTTTCGTTTTAATTGAAGATGTTCGATGTCAACGTTATGTATCTAGTATGAACACTTTATCCAAGGAGTGAATAAAAATCAAAATGTGAATAAAAATCAAAATGTTTAAAAAAGATTTTAATTGATATCCGCTTTTATTGCTGATGCACCATACAGAGTGTTACAAATTTCGGGAAACACTTCTAACTTTTGCACCCTGTAGATGCTTAAATTAAAATCTAAATAACATTTTTACCATAGCATCGTAGCTGAAAAGTCAACCTACATACAGTTAAAATAAAAATCATCAAAATTAGGTTAACGGTTCGCGAGGAAATCAACATTAAAATTCTGGCCAATTTCTGGTGGCCGTTTATTTTGCGGCTGAGTGTATTTTTCCACTCGTCAAACCCTTGTCAAGGAGGTTGTGAAGCAGTTCATCTTACAACTGCCGACATATTGATTTAATTTGTTTCTATCTCTCTCTTACTTATGCACAGATTTCTTACGCCACAAACACACATGAAATATGATCCCCATATCGGTTTTCACAGCAGGCTACGGGAGTGACGTCATAGAATGTACCGTTGCCTGCTGTGACGTCAATTCCGTTGCATACTCTCAATGCGCCAAAAGAAGTATAACTTCAAAAATTATTTGATTTTACTTAATATTTATGTTTTTGCTGCAGTGCAAACAAATTAGAATGGAGAAAGACTTTTCAAGCGTTGAAGATGTCGTTCAGAGCTTAGAATCTTTCAGCACTTCAGACATCAGTGACCAAAGTTTATCCCCGCATAACCTACAGGTAGACATTGTAAAAAAACCTTGCGTCGAAGGAACGTTTTTTTTTACTTTATGTTTGTCTTTTTTTAGGTGCAACCCTACCCCAGTGCTCTAGACGAATCAGTGATAGCCTCGCTGGCCGCGCAGCAGGATCTCCCTGGCGGGAGCGACATGTCGCGCGTCGAGTATTTTGCCGTGCCCACTAACGGTTCCCAAGTACCGGTTCACTCCCTCTACTCTTACGGGGAGCAACAGGTGTATCAGGCAGGATTTCAAGCTGGCTATAATCTTATGCAGCAACAATTGGGAGGTAAGATGCCGTCTAATGCTACTCGTTGCTTGTATTTGTTTCTTACTGCATTTTATTATTATTTTCCTAACTCACACTAAAGGCTCGTTCACACATATCTAGCTGTTTATTTAGTCAAGTGGCAATTAATTTACAGCGCGCGGACAGTAAAATTTAGTCAAGGAAAACACATGTTTACGATAAAATTGAAATTAAAAAGTTATCGTAAAATAGTTAGCGGATGCCTACAATTGAGCAAACTGTTGGTCTATGGGCCATAATAAATAATAATAAGTGTTAACAACAATAACTTTTAAACTATAGACTAATTAAAGATTAATTTAAAATTATTTAAAATACTAATATAGGCCAGTGTAAGATTTTATATAGGGAACCCAATACTTTTATACCAGTTGGAATTTACGAACCGTTTGTCGCACATAACCTTTAAAATACTGGTAATTTAGAGCAATTTTTTTTATATAAATACATAAAATATTTTGCTCTCAGATCTGCTGTTGCCTAAATATAATTAAAAAACCTTAACCATTTTTTTGGATAATGGTTTTCTTCTTTTGTGCTATATTTTTGTAGCTTTTAAAATTTCCTATAAAAGGACCATTTACTGTCCCACACTGGAGCAATTTAATTAAGTTAAATAATCAATTTATAGGACATTTTTACAGCTACAAAATTTAAAAAAATAATTTTCTAAACAAGGGTTAAAAAGATAGAAATTTTATAAGTATGTTGGCCACTGTGCAATAAACGGTTCTTGAGTTGATAAAACAAAAAAATAGGGTTTTTTCGATATCAAGAATCCGAAAACCAGAATATATTCCTTTGACTAAAAAATAAAATTTAACCACTTTTACTGCTTTTACTGCTTTTTTTTTCAAAAAAAATTTACATCTGCCTCAAAATTTTGTTGTAAAATTATACAATTTACTAGAGATGGGACAATTTCCATTTGACGAAAATTCCCGGAAACTTTCCATCGAAAATTCCCAAAACTTTCCGATAGTTCTGACCAATAAAATATGAAAAAAAACTACAGGCTAAAAAAATCAACATTTTTAAGTGAGCCTGAGTCTATCATTTTTAAAAATACAGGCTCTGGAGTTGCTACAAATACCTATAAATAAACAACAAAAACGTTAGAATGATTTTAATGTTGTTTACCTTTTAAAAGGCATTTATGAAAAGGATTTTTTGCAAACGATTTATGAATTGTGATGATCAGATCTACAACAAACGTCTTCTTTTTTAAATTAACACCAATTAACTTCTTCTTATTCAGTTTCTTGGCCTTAACTTTGCAAATCAGCTGTTAAACAATTTACATTTACATAAAAAAAACAGGGAAAGTTTCCGGGAATGTTTCCGGTAAATTTAAAAGATACTTTTAAAATGAAAATAAACTCCTGACTGAAAACTTTTCTTAAAATGGAAACTTTCCGATTCTCATCTGTACAAAATCCTCTGTAAGTGTACGCTTCTACCGGCCTAATATGTGAAAAATTAATAATTTTTTTTTGCATTAAAACTTTAATTTCTATAAAAAATAATTATGTTTGTAAAATAGTTGTTATCTTCTCACAAAAAAGCATTTTTGAATTGTAAAACTGAATTTATGAATAGAATCACGTTAATAAAGACAAAGATAACACATTTTTACGATAAAAATATTTATTAAAGAAAAAAGTTTCGTATAAAATCTATTAAAAATATTACTCGCCACGCGACTAAAATACTAGTTTTCAGTGGATACATCTGAACAAGCTTTAACTGACCTACTTACAGCATGCCCAAGTGCGAGCACTAGCGAAACGCTAACGACCACTACGGTTGTTCCCACAACAGTGGGCGCCGTTTCCGGCACTTCTACTCAGCAGCAACAGCAGCAATTCATCAGCGTTGCACAGCCGCCGCCGCCTCAACAGCAGCAGCAGCAGCAGCAGCAACAGGCTCAGTGCAGCCACTCAGCGACCGCTGCCGCGCAGGCTCCTCTGCACTGCCAGCCGTGCGCCCAGCACCAGGTTGCGCCCACGCACCAACAGGCCGCCACCACGCAAGTCCAGGCGGCTACTCAGACGCCGCAAACAGGCGCCGACGCCAAAAAGGCCAAGGCCGGCGGTGACGGCAAATTCAAGAAGAGCCGAGTAATGCGCCAACAGAACCAATCGCAACAGATTACCAACTTCCAAAATCAGAACTATCAAATTGACCACAACTCAGGTATTTATATATAATTAATGTATACGAGCCCTAACCACATAATGTTCGGACACTTCATAATTTATACAGAATTTTTTTTCGTGAATACTATCTCAAAATTATTAGAAGTTATGAAAAATTCAGCTTATTTTGGCATATACCCCTCGAAGCGATTTTTATTTTTAAAAAGTTTACCTTTTATTTTTAGCTTTTAAAAAAAGGCTAACTTTTTAACTTTTTTTTGCATGAGTAAAAAAAGTTATAAATGGGCCCATTAAAAAGAACATAAAATATTATACAAACCCTGAAAATTTGGTAAAAATTGTATAAATAATAAGAAAGTTATAGCGATATATATATCTGCAAAATCTCCCGTTTCCTAAGAAAATTGCAAAAACTCTTTAAAAATAGCATTTTTAAATTACTTATACTTTTTTATAACTTATTTATTTTTTACCAAATTTTCAGGGTTTGTATAATATTTTATGCTCTTTTTAATGGGTCCATTTATAACTTTTTTTACTCATACAAAAAAAAGTTAAAAAGTTAGCCTTTTTTTAAAAGCTAAAAATAAAAGGTAAACTTTTTAAAAATAAAAATCGCTTCGAGGGGTATATGCCAAAATAAGCTGAATTTTTCATAACTTCTAATAATTTTGAGATAGTATTCACGAAAAAAATTTCTGTATAAATTATGAAGTGTCCGAACATTATGTGGTTAGGGCTCGTATAATGTATAACTAGATAAAAACAAACAACAGTGTTTGTTTTTATCTAAGTATACAGTAGTGTCATGGAGTTTCATCAAATAAAAGTCAAAAAATAAAATATAAATGTCCAATTTATTAGACTGACAAATTTTTTATTTTTGGTAATTTGTAAAATAGTTAAACCACATTAGTAATTCTAAGAATATAATCAAGTTAAAAACGCTCTTTAAGGCGATAAAACACAGTTGTGTACCAATACCAAAAAGTGATTTTTTGGACAAGTCTGAAAAAACAAAATAACACTTTTTCGAGCACTTTTTGGCCATGGAGCAAAGAACATTTTTAGGCGACCTTCATTATAATCAGTTTATTAATGATTTATTAATATAATTATCAATAAACGGGCAGAAAAGTGACGGAAAAAGTCATTATAAAATGGACAATAATGAAAGCTAAATAGTACATTATAGACTAGGCGTAGAAAGCAGATATTATCGCCGAGCATACATTATAATATGAAAATGATTGCACGCTTGGGAATAATACATGTTTACGATATAATTGAATTACAAAAAAACACGTAAAATATTTAAAACGACTTTTAGGCCTTGAAAACTCATTTTTGCAATAAAACCTTTATTAAAACTTGTTTAAATATGTATCTAAACATGATGATCAAAGTTTTATTGCAGAAATGGTTTTAAAGTCGTTTTTGTGAAAAATATTAATTTTATAACATAATATAAGCATTGAAGGTTTTTTAACCACCACTTTTTTAATATTAATTTTATTGTAAAAATGACTATTTTAGTCAACATAAAGTGTATTTTTGTACTTAAGGGGTTACATACATTTGTGGTGGGTCAAAAAATCGATTTATTTTTTATTTAATATTCTTACAACATATAGCTATATGTACTAGGTACTTTTAAGAATATGTACTCAAAATTTTATCAACTTTGGAGCACTACAACTTATGTTGTAGCAATTTATAGCCGCTACCTCACGAACATTTAAAGGCAAATTGAATGAACTTAAAACTTTTAACGCGTTTATCTCGGAATCGTTTTTTTGTGTCGTTGCCGTGAGCACGATTTCTCGAAAACCAATTTACTGATTGATCTGAGTGTTGTTCCTAATTACAACAGCTCCTTCGACGAAGGAATTTTCATTTGGACAAAAATTTCTATTTTTTTCGGTCGAAAAACAATTTCGGTACCCTCAAAAATCGATTTATTTGGGAAAATCACCGCCATTTGCGTGAACATTTTTTGTTTGCAAAACCCTTCGTTCACAAAGGGGGTGATACTATGTACTAATATGGTTTTTTTTCTTAAGATCTGTTAAGCGGTTTCCGATATTTCATGCTCACCGCAAACGCTTAAAAGAAGGCGTTTCGGGAAAAGGGTCGTATTTTCCACAATCTTGCATATTTTCGCATACATTTTTTTTACAAAATACTTCGAAACATACCCTATTCCATGCTTTATAGTTCGTTTCAATATAGATATATATATAGATAAGTGGTCAGCTGTGACCTCCGTTAAGTTGAGAGGGCCACCTCTCCTCCGGGTCTGCGGAATGGACGATTTTTATTTTGATTGCATATATTGCGGGGGGGAGCCTTAAATATTAACGCCACCACAAGAGGGGAAGCAATTTTTAATTTTTTAAAATGTCAATTTTTTTACGCAAACTGGAGATACTCAAGATACAAAGTCACCTCCGAATATATATATAATTTCGGAGAAACAAACAGCCTTGTATCCTCCGACAGTGTTGCCGGATTTTCGGAGGTCGCAACGTATCTTTAGTATCTGGGATATATATCAGATTTATTTTGTCCACTGCTTTATGCTATATGTGCCATACATTAGGTATTTAGTAATAATAATAATTATTATTATTTTTGTTATAAAAGACAAAATAATAAAAATGGAGTACTTTGAAATAAATAATTTATTTGATTTAAAAAAGAACGTATTGGTATATGATAGGTCTTGCAGGTATAATGGAAAAAAATGTTTTATTACATAACCCCTGTAAAATCTTTATTTATCGTGCGATTTTTACCAGATTTGTTTTAAAGGTAAAATCTTGATAAACTGTATTTTTGAAGCAAAAACGCCATATTTTTACTAAATACAAGGCCTACTATGTCAGTTTTTAAGAGTTAATTTTTAAGAATTCATATTAGCGATTTTTTTAAACAAAATCCAAGCACGGCACTGGATTCACCACCCCTCAAAATGACCTTATACTAAATTATATTAAAAATGTAAATAGAAAAATATAGAGAAATAATAACTACAAAAATTTATTTTGTCAAGTTATACATGAAAAAAACATTGAAATAAAATTAAACTAATAGTATAACATGGTATACTTATTATAAGTTTAATTTTATTTCAATGTTTTTTTCATGGATAACGACGGAATAAATTTTTGTAGATATTGTGCATTTTTCTACTTAAAATTTTTTAATAAAGTTTAGTAAAGGGTCGTTTTGAGGGGGTGGTGAATCCAGTGCCGTGCTTGGATTTTGTTTAAAAAAATCGCTAATATGAATTCTTAAAAAATTACTCTTAAAAACTGACATAGTAGGCCTTCCATTTTGTACAAATACGGCGTTTTTGCTCCAAATATATAGTTTATCAAGATCTACACCTTAAAACAAATCCGGTTAAAATCGCACAATAATTAATGATTTTACAGGGGTGAGTTGTAAAAAAATGGGTCACATTGTATATGTACTGTTTTGCTTGCAAGTAGTTTTTTAAAAACTTTTAAAACCGATTGACTTTTGAAAGAATTATTAATATTATTATTATCAATAAGTTTTGTTATTTTAATATTTATAAGTATATATTATTATTATTTTTAATATTTCAATTGTATTTTTGTATTATTTTTATTTTTTCTAATTTTTTTGTTATTTTTACTATTTTTATTATAATTATTTTTTTTTGTTAATATTTTTATTACGTAGGTATCTACTTCAATTATTTATATTCCTTTTACAATCTTCATTATTTTTATTTAGTTTTATTGTATTATTTTAATTGTTTTATTAAAATTATTTTTATTTATAATTTTAAAAAATTAATCTTTTTGTTATTATTTTTATCAATTTTACTTTTTTAATTATTTCTTTATTTCTAGAATTTTTATTTTTAATATTTTTGATATTTTTATTATTATATTAATAAAAATATAAGAAAGAAATTTAAGTAAACAATAAATAGAGATAATTAAAAAACATAAGTAAAGTAAATAGTTATTTATGTCATTAGGTTAAGAAGTAAGGCTTTTTGTGCTAAGCTCAAGGTTTGAAGGCCGACGCGTAGCGGAGGCCTACAATTGAGCGAAGCACAAAAAGGCACTTCTTGGCCGAATGGCATACAACATTTTATCTTCAAAGCACTTTATATAGGTCAATTTAATTCAACATGAAATCGCCCTAACCTCACTTTTTTAGAACCTCATTTATTTATTAGCTAAAGATTACATTAAATGTACAATAATTATTATTCCTTTTAGAAGCAGTAATAGTTTGACAATACCTATCTCTGACCTAGCTACATGATTTAAGTAGAAATGGATTTTTGTAAGAAAACCCTCTTGCTATTACATTGAATTCAATTCATTGTTTAATAAATAGGTATCTAATTTCAATTTGTTTGGATTTTTATTAAAAAAATAGGTAGTTTGGAATGTTTACGCTGTGTTTAACATTTAATTTCACTGAAAATTTAAAGCAAATTAAAATTTAAAGATAATTTAAATCGTAGAAAACAACTGTGAAATCCACAGAAACGTCAAATTGCAATGTCCTAACCACACTTTTTATTTTATTATTCATATTTAATTTTACAATAATTTAATGAAAAATATTAAACATTATAATGTTATAACAGTAAAACAAACAAATTAGTGCTTATTATAAATAAATTAAACCAGTTTAGTACGTTAATTTCTTAGAAAAGGATTAATTTGTCAAAACAATACCCCTAGCGAGAAAAAATCGAACTAATTACTTGCCTCATAAAAATTTTTATCGGCCTAGGCCATAACAAGGTATTTCTTTATCGAATGTTGACAACAATAAAGTTTAAATTATAGACCGCGTGGAGATAAACATTTTTATCTATTAAAATAGTTATGAATAATAATTATTATAATTATAATTATCATAAGGGTAACTAATTAATGTTTTTTTTTCGTTTTTCTTAAGGTGTTGGACTTTGGCTTTAATAAGGGATACACTTCTTTTTATTTTCGTTTGTTCTAGAAAAGATTTAATTTCTTTGCTAGATGAATAAATATTTTTTTAATATTGTTAAGGAATTTATCCTTTATTAACCCGATTTCCATATTTGTGCAGCCTAAAAATAATAACACATTTTTATACAAATAAATCTGAAAAAAGATTGTGTGAGTAAAAAATATTGTTTAAACACATTTAATGTGTTAAAATCATTTTGTACTTTTTTTGTTTAAATTCTTTATCTTTTTTGGTAATGATTTCATCATTACTAGTATCGTCCAAATCTAAAAGAATTATTTTACAATATCCATTTCTATAAACATAATGCATTTACCTAATTATAACCGACTCTCTGGATTATTAATTAAGTCCTGGAAGATCTATTTTTAACTTAAATCGTTATTTTACACTTAAGATGTTAGAACAAAAGCGAAACTGCGTAACAAATAACATAAAAGAAGTATTAAAGATCATCTGAACATCTATGACTGCGCGAGATATTGCAAGGTTGCCAAATTTCGGAGGTAACAAATGTACGTATACATGACGGAGGTAACTTTGGTGTGGCTGAATCTGATTAAAAAGCGACACTAGCGCCAATTCATATATGGTGGAACTAAAAGTTCCTTTTTAAGAGACTGGGGGGTCAAAGTGACCTCCGAAATATTTTTGCACAGATTGATTACTGACACTCCCCCAATGTCAAAAATATGGTTAAACACTGTGACCTCCGAATTTGGAGGTCACAGCGTCATATATGAGGTCACAACGTATGAAGGGTCTCCGTTTTGGAGGTGACAATGTACCCTTTATCAATATATTATTATATACCAAAAACAAATCAACAAAAACCGTTAATTTTTACGAGCTCATATGTATGTAACCCCTTAAAAGCGGCGTCTTTTTCGGCCGCTTTCATTATTGTCGTTTTTTTTTTTGATAATTATATTAATATATAATTTATAAAATAATTAAAATGAAGGTCGCCTAAAAAATTTTGTGTGCACCACTGCCAAAAAGTGTTTTTGTATTTTTCAGACTCGTCCAAAAAAATCACTTTTTGGTCTTGGTACACAAATAACTATTATCGTCCTGAAAAGCATTTTTATTGCGATTCTTTTTATAAAATCACTTTTAGATTATTTTATAAATTCCCAAAATGAAAGAAGTTGTGCGTAATGCGATGTGAGTTTTATAATCAAATAAATCATGGTTAATTAATTGTTTTTGATTGATGATGATTTATTATAAAATTTTAAAATGTATATATTTTTGTTGCAGCTATAACTCAGTACAGCGGAGCAGCAGCCCAACAGCAGCAGCAGCAGCAGCAGCAACAGCTCTCTCAAAACCCTGGTCAGCCGCAACAGCAACCCCAATGCCCGGCCAACAACGCCGTAATCGCTCCTTGTATGGACGTGGACTCCGAGACCGAGAGCAACCACGACACCGCCCTCACGTTGGCGTGCGCCGGCGGACACGAAGAACTCGTCGAACTGTTACTGAGCCGCGGAGCCGACATCGAGCATCGCGACAAAAAGGGATTCACCCCTCTGATTCTCGCCGCCACGGCCGGTCACGAGAAAGTCGTCGAGATTCTGCTGAACCGGAACGCCGACATCGAGGCCCAATCGGAGCGAACCAAGGACACGCCTCTGAGCCTGGCCTGCTCGGGAGGCAGGTACGAGGTGGTGGAGCTGCTGCTCAACCGCAACGCGAACAAGGAGCACCGCAACGTGTCCGACTACACTCCGCTCAGTCTGGCCGCTTCCGGCGGTTACGTCAACATCATCAAGCTTCTCCTGAGCCACGGCGCCGAAATTAACTCGCGCACCGGCAGCAAGTTGGGAATCTCGCCGCTGATGTTGGCCGCCATGAACGGCCACACTGCCGCCGTCAAGCTCTTGTTGGACATGGGCAGCGACATCAACGCTCAGATCGAAACCAACCGCAACACGGCGCTCACTCTCGCCTGCTTCCAGGGCCGTCACGAAGTTGTCAGTCTTCTCTTGGACAGAAAGGCCAATGTTGAACACCGAGCTAAGGTAACAATAACTCAATCAATTTATTTTAATCAAGGTTGGAAAAAACATGTTAAAAAATTAATTACGTGAGGCAATTTTCGCGTTTGCGAAAAAATTTTGTATTCAGAAAAATTGTATTTTACATTTTTTTACCACTATTATTAATTACACAGAGTTGTGCACTTTTTGTACTTCCAAACTTTGATTATTTGAATATTTATTAATAATAATAATAATAATAATAATACATTTATTGTGCAAAAAAATACAATATAACAATATAAAGTACAATACACAAAAGGAGGTGTTCGTAAAAACGCTCTTCCACACCACCCAAATAATTAATTATAAATAATACATACAAAAATACAAAACAAATACAAATATATATGTAGATACATATATACCTATATTAATAATCAGTGCATAATTAAACAGCAATTAATATTATTATGTATGATTTAATCATATTTTATGGAGAAACATTTTTTACTTAATTTACCAGTTTTCTCGCAATTTTACTCTGCTTCTTTCGAGAAAAAAAATACGTGATATTTGCCTTCCCCCCATGTGAGATTGGGTGAGGTTTGGCTCGACCCCCTCCCCCCCTAAACACCACACATAATTAATGGATGCACCCTTATGCCGGTTTTCCACCAAACGGACAGTTGAGTTTGGGTTTTGTTTGTGTTTTTAAAAACTTGTAAATCAAAAACAAAACTGAAACAAACCCGAAACTCTTGTTTCCATCAAACAAACTAAGTTTTGTTCGAGTTTTGTTTTTGTTTTCGGTCCTTTTCCACTAGTTGTCGTGATTATGTCAGAACACACTTTTTCAGTATCAACCAACATCTTTAGAGAAAAAGATTTTCTTATTCTTAGTTGTGGCTGGTTTATACTTCTTCGTGAATAACTTTTGAAGAATTAAATTAATTAAAACATCAAATTATGACTAAAAATCAAAAATAGCGATGAAATAAAATTAATATTAATATTATAAGCCCTTATAAGGGCTCAAATTTTCACCAAATTTTTTTTTATTCATTCTGAATGACATTCTCGATATATTTAAAAAAAAATAGTCAATTTTTTTGGCCCAGTCTAATATATATATATATATATATATATATATATGTGTATCTATTAAACTTATCCATGACATTTTACTGCCGAGGCAGTAGGTTGTGTGCGAGGTAATTAATAAGCTTTCGCCGCCGTGTTTTATATACTATTTTTTTTCAAGCTCTAAATTTCGATATTTTTTTGAAATTTTGTAACCTCATTTTTAGGTTAGGTTTAACTGTCAGACGACAAAATGTCACCATTATTGTTCGGCGGTCAATAATAATTTGACTTTTGAACTAGTACAATAATGTAGTGACTACTAGTTCAAAAGTCAAATTATTATTGACCGCCGAACAATAATGGTGAGATTTTGTCGTCTGACAGTTAAACCTAACCTAAAAATGAGGTTACAAAATTTTAAAAAACTACATTGTAGTATTTCTATATAGACTTATGAGGAATATAATATGAATATTATTATACACTTGGAAAAAATATGTTTCTTACTTACCTACCAATTTAGTATGAAATTCGTATCCAAAAATTTAAAAAAACTACATTGTAGTATTTCTATATAGACTTATGAGGAATATAATATGAATATTATTATACACTTGGAAAAAATATGTTTCTTACTTACCTACCAATTTAGTATGAAATTCGTATCCAAAAATTTTAAAAAACTACATTGTAGTATTTCTATATAGACTTATGAGGAATATAATATGAATATTATTATACACTTGGAAAAAATATGTTTCTTACTTACCTACCAATTTAGTATGAAATTCGTATCCAGACTAACAAAATAAAATAAAAGTCGAAAACAAAAAACACAACACGACCATTTCCACTAAACAGACTCGAGTTTCAAAACACGTCGAAACCTTTTGATGTTACCGCTTTCGAGCGGGACTCGAAAAACAAAACTCAAACTGTCGCAAAACACGCCAGTCTTCAAAAAGTTTGCAAAAAGTTGCAGTTTTGTTTTATTCGACACGAGTTTGTGTTTTGTCCGTTTGGTGGAAAACCGGCATTATACACACGAAAACAATGAAACAATAAATAAAAATTGTTTTACCCTCGCCTGCATATTATTATTTTTTTATTTTTTCTCTGGGGCGATGGAAGGAATTCAAAAAATATTATTTTTTCTACTACCTTAATGGAAAACTTAATTTTCCACCCCCGAGCGAGGGAGGAAAATGGCTCTTTTCCTCCCCGGGAGGAAAAAATATTTCCTCCCTCTATTTTTTTTAACAATTTTACATTAGCAAAAGTTTTGTACCTTGTATAGCCCTATTTGATTTTGTACGAAAAAGATTTACTCCGCGCTTGTTCAACCATTCTTTGTTTAGTTTAGTTTAGTTTTTTGCTTATAACAAATGTTTTAGCAGTGTCAAAGTTACAAAACAATTACATGACTATATTGCTTTTCATATCGCTTTTTCGATTTTTGAGGAAGAAGATTAATTTCAACTACTCTTGCCTCTTCAGCAAGATCTTGCGGCAGGTCTTCGCTAGAACTCATTTTTAAAACTTAGGAAGAATTTCAAATTTATGATAACCTGACAGCTTATAACAACTGTTATGTTTGTTTTACCAAAAATACCATAGCAACAAAGCGTTGTCAACACAACGTCGGCGACGCAAAACCTACTTAATATTTTGTCATAATATTATAGCCCCATACCGGGTTAGTAAAAATAACCCGAACCCTTAAAATGTCTTTATAAGCGTTAAAAGGTAATAGAAAAAACCATATACATACCTCAGGAGGAAAATGCGTTTCCTCCCTTGAATATTTAATGCCCTTCGCTTCGCGTCGGGCATCAAACTATTCACGGGAGGAAAAGCATTATTTTCCTCCTATGGTATGTAAATAGCTATTTTTTCACAAAAATATTTAAACATTCAATTTTCTTAGTTTCTTTAAGAAACTTTTTTGACCCATCACTGGTAATATTCATAAGAAAAAATTGAACCTACACCTCGCCAAAGTTTTTTGTTTTGAATGCGTTCCACCAACTTCAAATACCGACAGACAGCTGTTTCGACCTTTATTGGGTCTCATCAGTGTCGGGCAACTTGGTGTAGTGGAACACAATCAAAACAAATTACTCCCTGAGCCTATATGCTCAGTTGTTAAGTCAACAGAGGCGAGATGTAAGAACATCAGGTGATCCACACCGTCAAATATTTATTTTTGTCATACACAAGTTTTCTATATAAACTAATCGAATAAAGTTAGGCATATTAAGATATTTTGACAAAAACATAAATTTAACGATACAATTGTATACGCCCTGTATACTTTATTTTATTATTTGGTAATGAAAACGTAAAAATTAAATAATCTTGGACAAAAAATAACGAAAACGAAATATGTAGGTATGACTGCAGTCGTTATACAGTTTGATTTTAACTTTGTTTAAAAATATGCTTAACTTTTTTCGATCACTTTATATAGGCGTATTCAATTTTCAATATTTCGCACCACCCTATTATACAATCGCCTGCAACTCCCTTTCATTAACTCCTCGTTCTTGCAATACTTTGTGGAACGCACTCTTAAATCAAAATATTTCTAGACTGGATTAACACCATTGATGGAAGCCGCAAGTGGCGGATACGTGGAAGTCGGCAGAGTTCTCCTTGACAAAGGAGCAGATGTAAATGCCACTCCGGTGCCGTCGTCTCGCGACACCGCTCTAACAATCGCCGCTGACAAAGGCCACGTTCGTTTCGTCGAGCTTTTACTCTGCCGTAGCGCCCAAGTCGAAGTGAAAAACAAGAAAGGCAACTCGCCTCTGTGGCTAGCTGCCAACGGCGGTCACTTGCCGGTCGTCGAGCTGCTCTACGATCTCGATGGCGACATCGATTCGCAGGACAACCGCAAAGTTTCTTGTTTGATGGCCGCTTTCCGCAAAGGTCACGTCAAAGTGGTCAAGTGGATGGTGAACAACGTCACCCAGTTCCCCAGCGACCAAGAGATGATGCGCTATATCGCCACCGTTAGCGATAAAGAGCTTCTGGACAAGTGCCAGGAATGCACCAAGATTATCAGAGCCGCCAAAGAGACTCAGGCCGCCAAAGCAAACAAGAACGCGTCCATATTGTTGGAGGAACTTGATATGGAAAAGACCAGAGAAGAGTCGAAGAAAATGGCTGCAGCTAGAAGGCGTGAAAGGAAGAAGAAAAAGAAGCTTGAAAAGAAAGAAGAAAGACGTAAGCTGCTCGAAGAGAACAAGAAGAATGAGAACTATGATGAAAAAGACAAAAAGAGCGTCGATGAAAGCAAAGATGATGAAACAGGTAAGCCAACTTTTTTAAATTCCAATACCTACTTTGACTGAATAATTTATTTCAGATAATGTTCCTGAAGTTAATCCCTCTATTCGCAATGCTGACCCAGCAGATAAAGAAGAAGGTGACAGTGGCATTGACGCAAACAGTCAAGGCAGCTGCTCCAGTAGCGACATCAAAACCAACGAAAAGCGCAAGGAAAAGAAAAAGAAGAAGTCCAACAACACTTCAAAGAATGAATCTAGAAATTCCAACAACAACAAAGCCGGTTCGAGCAAGAACAACAACGATACGTTACAGGAAATAGTCGACAAGAATGAAAAACAATGCGACAGCAAGTCGTCGGCGTCGTCGACCAGAAGTCCTCCGAACCGCAAATCTATGGTATTTGAAGCCACCAAGAGCCCGGCAGATAGAGATGACTTCGAAGCCACCGGTAGCGAAGTGTACGTGTCTAACAAAAGCAAAAAGGCTCAGCAACATAATTTTGACAATGACACTCCAGTAAGCACAGTAACCACCAAAGGTAATTCGTCCACCAGTCCCAAGCAGAGCACGAAGAGAGAAGAAGGCTGGAAGGAGGTCGTCAGGAAGTCGTCGGTTCAGACCGTCTCGACCAGCGAATCCGGAGTCAAGAAAGTTTCCGTGCCCCATAACGCAATCTCGCGCGTCATCGGACGCGGTGGAAGCAACATAAACGCAATTCGTGGTGCCACTGGTGCTCACATTGAAGTCGAAAAGCAAAACAAAGGGCAAGGTGAAAGAATCATCACCATCAAGGGATCTGCGGATGCCACCAAGCAGGCTTTCCAGTTGATTACAACTCTGATCAAAGATCCGGACGTTGATATTCTGCAGATGCTTCCAAAGACTAACAAAGCAGCTTCGACCACGACCACTCTGTGGGACAAGACCCAGATCGGCACGAAAAAAAGCGCCGGTAAATTCGTTGTGGTATCTCAGGTGGTAATCCCGCCCACCACCACGCACCCCAAGGTGGTTCAAACGGTCACCGCGACCGCCAGCACGGTGAACCGTGCTTCGACTACTACGGCAGCGAAACCGAGAGCCGCAGCCCCGGTGGTCACTTCGCGAGCCACCGCCCCGCGTCTGCTCGCTCAGTCGGAGAAGAACGCTGCCGCCTCCGCCCAACCGACCGCCGCCGTTCGCCTGCCGAGCCAAAGCGTCGCGGCAAACGCCAAGGCTCCAAACGCCAAGCCCATCAGCACCTCGGCCAATCAGACGTTCGCGGCCAAACTGACCGAAGTCTATTCCACCAACGGACCGCCGGCCGTCAGCAACACCACCGTGCAAGCAAAAGCGAGACAAGCCGCCCCCGGCGTGCCGCACTCGAACACCCAAACTAGCGTTCAGACGTCCCAACCGTCGACTTTCTCGGCCAACACCACTCAAAGCTCTCCCGCCAAAACCGTGCGTCCCACGCCAACCACATCGGCGCCGCCACAAATGCAACATTTCCAATCGAGTCCTGGCAAAGCGCAAGCGCACTTTGGCGAATTCACCAACCCACCCGGTACGCCAACCGTCGGTCCGGAGATCGTAACCAACATGGGCAGAAGTTCCACGCCCAATTCGATCCCACACCGTCCGCAGCAGGTCGAGGACATGAACAACCACCACCACCATCACCACCAACAACAACATGCCAACATTCAGACTCAAGAGTACTCCCTGTTTAATTCCACCGATAAACAGCCGATGTGGCGACGAGAGAACGAATCCCAGAAGCCCATAAACTTCGCCGCGGTCACCGGCGGCGGATCCAACGCCCAATCGGCGGCAAGTCAGAACATATTCACCAACGAGCCTCCGCCGCAGGTGGACGTGGCCAAAGCTCCGGGATATCGCGGCGTGGCGGTCTGCTCCCCCGTCTCCTCGAAGACGAGCAGCAGCAGCAGCACCACGCCCCCGAACATCTCCGCCGCCATCAACTACCAGCAGGTGTACCAGGAGCAGCCGCCGAAAAATCAGAACCTGCCGCCCATCGGCAGCAATCTGCAGCACCACGCTCGCGCGCCCGGCGCGCAGAACAGCACTGCCAACGAGATGCACGAGTTCTTCGCCAAGAACAGCACTTCGATCGGCAACGTGACCACCATGCTGAGCTCGAGCAGCAGCGATCACTTCCAGTACATTGCGCAGATGAACTTTTCGCAGCCGCAGTCGCAAACCAACATGCAGTCGGTGAGCGCGTCCAGGTTGAATCCGAAGGCGCCAGATTTTTCTTCAGGCTACAACACCAAGCCGACCGGCGCCAGCCAGCAGCAGCAGCAGCAAATGTTCAACGGTGCCTTCCCGATCAACCAGAACCACACGGTAAATACTTTATATTTTTAAACACGCATCATATAACATTGCAAGTGACATTTGAGTCAAGCCACGTCAAGTGGGACTAGAAAATTTCACGAAATCACCGATTTTAAAAATAATCACATTATTGTGTGGTAGGCATGACGCATATGTCACATTAAAAAAATTGTTTTTAAATTCGCTTTTTTAGTAATTTCATTAAAGTTAATAATTTTGTCAAACTTTAGAGCATGGTAAAATTGAAAAAAATAGAATCTCTGGGACCACTCTGTATAATTGAATTAAATTTTTACACACTATTGTAGCAATGTTTAGACTATTAAATGATCATTTAATTAAGGTAAATTTGTTTAAATAAAAGAATTTTGCATACATTTTTTATAAACAATTGACACTTTGTATGTGTTCTTCACGCTGAAAAAAACTTAATCTTGTGTCATAATATGCGCAAAACGTCCCCGTTTAATAAAATGTAGAGATGGGAAAATTCCCATTTGACGAAAATTCCCGGAAACTTTCCATCGAAAATTCCCGAAATTTTCCGAAAGTTTCAAAAAAAAAATTTTTATTGGGAAAATATTTTTTTTATGCCAGGGATTTGCAAAAATATATAACACATTAACTTTTTGTCAAATTTTATTAACAAAAAAAAAATGTTTATAAGAATGTAACTGCAATACTATTTTTAGTATCTTTTACTTTGGAATATTTCTATTGTATACTGAAACCTACAAAATAAAAATAAAAATTTTATTATAAAATGTTTACTATTAGAAATGCACTGCTAGTAAATCCTAGATATTATGTAAAAAAAAATTAAAAGGGACAAAGTAACTAATATATAGAAATATTGAAAAGTAAAAAGTTAAGTAAAACATAATTCCAAACACTAGATTTTTTTCTTGACATTGTGCTATGTCTATAAATAAACAACAAAAATGTAAGAATGATTTTAACTTGGTTTATAAGTTTTTTGTGATGCTGAATAATCCGGCTTCATTGAGGTTATGTAATATAACTTATATTATTTATACTTTTTCTTCTGCTTTAAATTAACACACATTAAATTCTTATTCAAAGTTTCTTGGCCTTGTATCATGGCCCTAACGAAAATCAACGGTTAAACAATTGACATTTAAATGAAAAAAACAAAAAAAGTTTCCAAGGAATGTTTCCGGTAGCTTAAAAGAAACTTTCAAAATGAAAATAAATTCCCAATTGGAAACTTTCCAAAACGGAAAGTTTCCTTAAAATGGAAACTTTCCGATTCCCATCTCTAATAAAATGTACTCAAAAATTTGTCCTTCATAGGTCATTTCAGAGATATTAATTTTTCTCTCTCGCTGTGCTCTTGAGCAGTATGCAGCGCGCTTCGCTGCTAGCTCGTTAGCACAGCTTTCCGTTAGAACGTTGGAACCGACGAGCTAGCAGCGAAGCCGCGTACTGATCGAACGCAAAGCGGGACAAAAAATTTAATATCTCCGGAATGAGATATAAAGGACAAATTTTTGAGTACCTTTTATTAAACGGGAATGTTTGCTGCATATTATGACACAAGATTAATTTTTTTTCAGCGTGAATAACACATACAAAATTTCAATTTTTTATAATAAATGTATGCAAAATTCTTGTATTTAAACAAATTTACCTTAATTAAATGACAATTCTTTAGTCTAAACATTTCTACAATAGTGTGTAAAATTTAATTCAATTATACAGTGGTCCAAGGGATTCTATTTTTTTTTATTTTACCGTGCTCTTAAGTTAGACAAAATTATGAACTTTAATAAAATTAACAAAAAACTGAATTTCAAAACAATTTTTTTACTGTGACATATGGGTAATGCCTACTACACAATTATGTGATTATTTTCAAAATCGGTGATTTCGTGAAAATTTCTGGTCCCACTTGACGTGGCTTGACTCATTTACACAATACCCAATATAAAGGATTTTTCAATAAGAGTGATATGTTTTCTTTCTTCTCATATGATACGGATATTTCGTTTCGTTGTATCCTTGGTAAAAAAATATTATTCCTCCAACTATACAAAAATATTGTATATTATTACATGTATATCAAAATACCTTATCTACCTTGATTGGAGAATTTGTCTAAAAATAAAAAACTATTAAAAAAATAATATAATAAAAAATTATTAAAAATTTAAAGAAATATCTTAACTCTTAAGTGCATATGATTTTGTTTTTGTACAAAATATACATGAAACGTTTTCAAATAGCTAATATAACATAGGAAAAATAATTAAAAATATCAAAATCAAAAAGAAAAATGTATTTTGAAAAGAAACAAAATGTAGCAAATTCCTCATCCTTCATACTTTTTTGCTACTCATGCTATAAAAGATATAGGACCTTAGTGCATATTGTTGCAGATATGCTACAATCAGTATTTCAGAAAAAACACAATCACCAACTGTTTTTTTATTAATATTATTATTTCCATAAAAGTACATACCTTACTCATATAGTAGAATACTTTTTTATTCGGTAAACAATTAAATAAAACTGTCATTCAAACGGAATGGTCAAATAAATTTTTTTAGCAAATATGTTGCAGATGTTACACCATTTGACCCATACATATAATACAGTATGTCTACTATAAGAGTTCCCGGAGCGTTGCAAATTTGCTACGCGATGCATTTATGGGTTAAAAACATTTTTAAGAAATACAGGAAAATCAAAGATTAATTAATTAACATTTTTGCAGAATTTCTATGGATATGAAAAATTAAATATTGTATAATGAAACATGGGAAATATGGGATAATAAAATAACTGTATTTTCACATTATTAAAACATTTTAACCTTTATAGAACAACAACATGTACCAGCAGCAAATGTCCAAGATACCACCCGACCAGTTCTCCAGAAACCCGCTGCACCAGCGCTTCATGCAGCAGATGCAGATGGCGGCTTTCAACCCGCCGCAGGCGCCCGCCGACATCATGAGCGGCATGTCTGGCGTCAACATACAGAACTTGGCTCGCGTCGCCGGAGGAGAGATTCACATCGAAAATGGGGACGATATGGGAATTGTGGTAAGTCAATTTTAAATTACCAATGAAGAACAGTTATGTTTACAATTTGCTCAATTAGCCTTTGATATTGTCAAAAATCGTGTTTTTTTATATGCAAACATTCAAATTTGTACATATATTTTTTTAATCATTAACCGAGGATCTAAAACTGAACAAAATAAATTATACAAATTTATAAAGTTATTCCCTTTAAAAACATACTTTAAACGAAATAAAATTATGCAGAATGATGGTCATTTTTTGAATCAGCGCACTTAAATTCTGCCATGCGAAGCTACAATTTTTAGTAATAAAGGACAAACAATAATTTTTATTGTTTTTAACAATTAAAATAAACTTTTGTCCTTTTTACATAATATTGCAGATTATTTTAGCCTAGCAGGGAAGAATTGCCCTAGAAAAGTTTTTGGCTCCCCTGTGGCAAACAAAAATATTCATTTTGTCAACCAGTGTAATTGGTAATTTTTACGAGCTATTTACTTACTGTAGCGGCCTCATTTTTTGTAGAAGAGCAATTCCACATTACTCGGCAATTTTTGTCGCGTCCGTAACCTACTATTTATGTATAATAACGTATCTTGATATATATGAACACTTTATTATCATAAAAGAACGCAGTGTCAGTGTCGCACCCGTTACGGTAGCTTTTATGTGAATTTTTTATTATTACGGACGCGACAAAAATTGCCGAGTGACGTGGAATGACCAGAACTTATTTTTATTGTCAAAAATAATATCGGCTGTTTTTTTCAATAAAATCAAAAATAAAAAGAATTCGGTCTTATTTGCTTCTTGACCGATATTTTTGAAAGCACTTCTGTAAGACTTTTCCACATGCATTGTCTTTTAAATTCAAGGTTTTTAATAACTTAACAACGCTATCTTCATTATTAGATACAAAAGACTTTCGGTAAAATAATTCTTCATTTTGATGGCATGATGGATTTTAGTTTATTTGTTTGAAGTATTGGGACATATTGATCAGTTCCAGTGGAATTTCGCATTATGGGAAGTTGGGGTAATTTTAGTTTTTTTTATTAAAAGCATACTTAAAAAAATAATTTAAAACAGGGATTCTTCATATACTTCATTCGTAAAACTACGCCTACAAATATACCAATATACTATTTATAATATAACATAGTGACGTCACGCTACCGAGAAAATTTATGAGGAAAAATTGATATACTTGAATTTTTATAATTTGACCACTACGTTATAAATGTTAGAATATCGATGGTTATTTGACAAAACATCGTAAGCGACACTTTTGTTGAATTACTTTTTATTTTATCAAAGTGTCAGTTACGATAAGCTGCACATGTTAACATAATAGTTATTCCAATTTTGGAATCTAATATTGGTCAGTTTAAATATTTTTATTATTGTAAGCGCCTCTTCTTTTTAATTTGTTACCGATTTATAACGTAAGCGCCTATATGTTCCTGACAAATAATCGTAAGCAACTCCGAGACATGGCGTTTGCGATTTAACATTGTGTCGCTTACGATAATATTGTGATCCCGCCTTGATCTATCAAGGCGTTATTCCTGCTCTAAACAGTTTATTCATGAGTATACCTGCATCGTGGTGATTGCTACCACAATGTGGATTGTGATTGCTACCAAGTTTTAAAACAATAATTTATTTAATGAAAAGCTTATAATTCCTTTTTAGCATTGCATTATTAATAGTTATCCTAATTATAATTGTTTTTTCGTAGTGTGGTTCGTTAAAAGTGTTTTTTGTAGTAATTGTATGTTGTATAATCTGTGGTATGTTGTTATAACGTCAAATAATGTAGTAATTGTAAGTTGTATAATCTGTGGTATGTTGTTATAACGTCAAATAATTTAACTCAAATTTATAACGGTTAGATGACGGCCAAAAAATTTTGAACGACCTATCATTCAGTTGATTTCAATATAAAACTGCCTTTAGTAACCACTAACCTTACTTTCTGAAAGTTGTCAGTTTGACGTATTTCATTGTTGATTGTGTTGTTTTAAGGTTAGATTCTCTGTCAACTTTTCGAAACTGCTTGTCATCTTGTCAAAAATGTCCCTAAAGGTTGGTTTGCACAGACATTAAGTTCGGGCTCCTTGTGTAGGCTCCATGGGTTAGATACTGGTTTGTGAATAAAAATCGTTCGGTTTTTTTCAAAGAAAGCTAATGTAGATTTCCATTTTCAAACATTGTTTGGCAAAATATCGTTGATGATATAAATTATTTTTTTTGTAATTATTTTTTATTTAATAATAAAAGTAAAAAAATAAATGTCGCTAACAATGTTTTGACAAAAGTAATCATCAAATCTATATCCCACAAAGTAACGTAAATGTAACTTAAGCGACAAGACTATTTTTACATTTTCCTAAAGATGTTCTTATAAAATATCGTATGCCACAAAATTTAATGAAAATTTTAGATTGGATTCGATCTAACTTAAATATTTGAATTCTACATTAATAAAATAATGCCTCACCAGTTTTCAGATAAATAACTTTAAAAATAAAGCTCCCACACAAAAAAAATCTCTCCTGTAAAATTTAGGTTTTGTCGCTTACGATGTTGTCAAATAACCTCGATATACGCTTCCCGTCAAAATTAACGCATAATAAGTAAAAAACGCCTTTACCAATCTTTATGAAATTTTGTATAAGAATACTTCAACTTATATCTCAGTTTACGTGTTCGAGAGTTTTTCGAGAAAATATTTGTAAAGCCCTTTTATTTAATAATAAAAAAACGTTCGAAAAATAATTTTTAGGGAATTTTTTAAATAAATAAAAAATATGCTGTTAAAGACCATATTTTTATTTAATAATAAAAAAACGTTCGAAAAATAATGTTTAAGGAATATTTTAAATAAGTAAAAAATATGCTGTTAAAGACCGTATTTTTGTTAGTATACCCTGAAAATTTTGTACAAATCAAACGAACAGTAACGAAGATACAACGCTTCAAAGTCTGTAATGATTTTGCTGAAAAGTGGTCATTTTTTTATTTAAATTCCCTATAAAAGTTTTTTTTCGAGCGTTTTTTTATTATTAAATAAAAGGGCTTTAAGTAAACGTAAACTGAGATATAAATTAAAGTATTTTTATCCGAAATTTTATAAAGATTGGTAAAGGCGTTTTAGAGAATTTTTTTACTTATTATGCGTTAATTTTGACGCGCAGTGTATGTAGCTCAGACATGCATATTGTATTTCCAAGCCGCAGGAGCGTATGTCGAAAAATCGATTTTTGAATGTGTAAATTTTAACTTATGGGTTACACATAAGTTAAAATTTTACCATAGAAACAGATGTTGGATTAAAGCTTAATTTTCATGTATCCGTATGTCCGTTAGTCCGTTCATCCGGAAGCGCTATTATTGGTCCAATTATAATTCAAAATGTATGATATTTTATCGGTCCGTCAAGTTTCAACTTCGTACGTCTGACAGAAAAAGTTAAAATAATTTTAACTCATCCGTTACTCATCTGTTTTTTATGCCTAACGTTATTTTAAGATACTTTATTTTAATATTTTTTTTAATAAGATTGTAAAACGGAAATATAACGTTCGTTATGTGAATAATGTTCTACTGTTATGTTTTTATTTAATAAGAATCAGAAAAAAAAAAGAAAAGACAAACAAAAAAATATTAAAACCAGAACTAAATGGACTTTTTTAAAACTATACATTTTAATGTAAATTAAGGCTAGTTTATTCTTTTTATATTTTATTATTTATATTAGACAGCTAACTGGCTTAAAGCCTGAATTATAGATTTCCTTCCTTCCTTTCTCCCGTACTCGTGCCCGTACGATTTGTGCGTCTTGTAAAAAGTCAATTTATAGATTTCCGTGTAAAATTCCGTAACCATGCGCAATGACACCTAAAATGGTTGACATTTGTTTTTGTTTATATTCTGCGTTTTACCCTTTGTGTGTAAATATGAAGGATAAACATTTATATATTAGTGCAGTGATCACAATTTTAATTGCCCAGGCAGCTTGTTGTATACTGCCCAACTATGGAGAAAGGTACTAACTGCTAAACAAGAAATTTGTGGGAAATTAGCATAAACTACATTTTTATAAAAAGCAGTAGGTATTTAACTGAATTATTTAAATTAAAAGATTGTTTATTGCATTTCTTTGATACAAAATGTCCATAGGTTTATCATAACAAAAGAAAACGCATTTGTAGTTACTGCCTTTCTCCATAGTAGGGCAGTATAATAAAAAAAAACATCCAACAAGACGTTGGAAGACTCGCCCACTTTACAAAGCAACGTTTCTAAAAATGAAAGACATTGATCATAAACAATATCTAAATATCCAAATTATTTAATAAATTGAACACCTATAAATAAATAATACTAAACAATCATGTATTTTAAATATTTTGTGCCTACGCGCTGTCACCCTACAGCGCATGTCCATAACAAGCACTGTGATTGGCCATGTCAAAGACCTTTACGGTGAAAGATAAAACTTAAAAATTTCTACGGGAGGAAGGAATGCCGTCCTTACGGTACGGGGATCTATAACTGGCACTACGATTTAAATAAACATTTTTGACGTAATTGTCACCATTAACATTGCCCGTTATTAATTTTAATTAAACTTAACAATTATTGATACTTTAAAATATTAAAATAACTTCAAAATATGATTTTGTTAAGAAAATATTTTATTCTTTAATTTTTTTATTACTATAATTGCAAAATACTATCACAAAGTATTAAAAATTCCTACACGGGAAATGTTAATGGTGACAATTACGTAATGTTCATCTTCTACGGGAGGAAGGAAGGCAATCTATAACTCAGGCTTTAAAGTTACAATTGTTGACATAATTCTAACTATGACAATTAAGCATTAGGTAAATTTAGTAAAGTGAATATACTGACCCTGACCCCTGTCGCCAAATCAATCCGTTAAACGTCATTATAAAACGGATGCATGAAAATTAGAACATTTCTTATCGGACGAATTTATTGAAAAACGGACAAACGGATACATAAAAATTAACCTTAGTTCGTAATTTTGACGTCACGATCTCTTCAAGGTCATCGAAGTATTTTAAATGTTGCAGTTACTCAAAAATTGGCTTTTTTCAAAAATTGTTTGGGAAACGTAGGACATTTTTTTAAATAAAAACTCGTATGCGTAGGTTCCAAATTATCCAACCCCATTATCGAGGTTGCACTGTATAACTACTAACCTTGTTGTTTCTCCATTCTTTAGCCGGTATCTCCGATGATTTCGCCCAGCCTGAACCCGGCCGCTATGCACCTGGTCGGTGAGCACTTCGCGGAGGAGCGCAAGCCGCAGCCGATCGGAACCGAGCGGGCTCGCAAGGCCGTCTTCAACGCCGGCCCGCCGCCCGACCAGGCCGGCTGGGGCCTGCTCAACGAGAAACCCGCGCCTCGCTGGATGCAGCCCGATCAGCCGTTCCCCATGTCCAGGTCGCAGATGAACTTCGCGGACGAGATGCCTCCATTGGATTTTTCGGTATGTTAACAAGATTACACAGTTCATTCTTCATTAAAAGTTGGGCATGGTCTTAAACCTAAAATGCAACCATCAGATATCAAATTTTATCAGTTGTATACAAGGTTTGTCAAAAAATATAATTTTTGCTCAAAAGAGTTTTTGACCATATCGAAAATTATTTTAAAGATAAGATTTTTATAATTAAAAATAACTTTCAAGTATTTAAAATTGTTTATTTACATCAGGGCTCCCAGCAGGTAGTTTTTTTAAAGACTTGTCTATATTTTTGTCTTAAGTCTATAAAAGTCTATTTTTTTACCTAAAGTGTATAACTATAGTTTTGATTATTAAAAATTATACATTTATATTATTTAATAAAAACAAAGTTTAAATGTACAATGTACATGTACTGACATAAAAAAATTAAATTGAACGATTAAGGAAGGGTGCAGAAAATAAAAAAAATGACTAAAATATGTATGGCTCAACTAATGTTTGAAGGAGTGAACCATCCCAAAAAAGAAGGGGAAGGTAACTTACAAGATTAGTCGTCTTGCCCAAGATTTAGAAAAACGAAAGGCGAAAATTATAGATCAGCTGCAGCCCACCAAAAAAAATATAACCCATTAAATGACTGATGCCAGTGCCTTTTATATAAATGTGATTCTATTTACAGAATTTAATATTTTTTTTGTTATTTATGTATTTTATAACAGTTATTACTTGTTAAACTTAATTCAATAAAAATTTATAATTTCAAGTTATCTCTATGTATTTTAAATTCAAATTTAGATCTTTTATCCCAAAAAATGTATACCTCCATTTTATTGTTATTTCGGTAATTAATTTGGTCTATATTTGGTCGTTTATTTTTTATTATTAGTCTCTTAAGTCACTATTTCTCGCAACATGGACTGCTGGGAGCCCTGATTTACATTGAAAAACGTTTTTTTTTTGCGTGTCATTAAATAAACCTTTATGTAAAATCTACTGATGTCAAAACAATTACGTCTTAATTTTTATTGAAAACTGATAAACTTTCACAATGTTGAATATTTAAAAGTTATTTTTAAAGCCAGTTGCATTTTGGGTTTTAGACCATGCACAACTTTTTATGAGGAATGACTTTTCCTAAAATGATTATTACAATAGTTTTCCATATGCCTCCAAAAACATCAAAAACTTTTTTCTCAAAATTCATTGCATAAAACAGTTTATATACTTTATCAAAAACGTACAAAAAAAAGTAGGATTTTGCCACTTGTACATTTCTATATCATTTATTCATTTTTTGTAAATACTTTATTTTTATTGTAAAAGTGCAAACTCTTGGTTTTTCCCCCAACTTAAAAAAGCTTGAAAAATTATTGAATCAAAACCGGAATCTGAAAATATATTATAGGTGATGTGAAATATGAATGATTTACATAAATGATCAATAGGGTGGTCTTTAAAAATTAAATTGTTTGCGACGCCCCCTAAAAAGCTTCGTTTTGATGAAAAAACACTGAGATTTTTTGTTTATTTAAAACAACACGTGCCTCAAGACGATCTAAGATAATTTTTTGGTATAATCATGTCTTTTCTGAAAATATGGAATAATAATTTTTTGAGATTTAAAAATTATTAACAATGGAATAACTTTATCTTGGAGTGAAGAAAACATAGATATTAAAATTACGTTTGTACTAATTTGGCTTTAAAATAAAAATATCAATTTGAATATATTTCATTTTTTTATTTAATTCACCAAATTAACTGGGAAAAATTTTGAATTTAAATTTTTGTCTATTATTTCGATTAACTATTGTTTTTTATTGATTTGGGTTCTATAATTGTTTATATTTTTAATAAAATTTTATTTTTCATAAAAAATTTCCAAAAAAATATAATTATACCAAAAAATTAACTTAGATCGTCTTGAGGCACGTGTTGTTTTTAATTAAAAAAAAATCGCAGTGTTTTTTCATCAAAAAGAAGCTTTTTAGGGGGCGTCGCAACGACCACACTAATGATCAATATTGGATAGTTCCGGCAGAACTGCATGTTGTGTGGCAGTTGATTTTTTCGGGAATTTCCCGAAATGCGTTGGTATCGTAAAATGCAATTTTTTCGTCATAAAAACAATATGTGTAATTGTTTGTTATCTTATTATTTATCTATTTAAGCTATGCAAAGTACATTTTTATTTTGTTTTTGTTTGGTTTTTATTTTATTTTTTTTAGTATGTAATCATAATATTATTTAAACAAACAATAATGTATCAAATAGTATCTTTTGATGCGTTTGTTAAATAAAATAAAAGTTTAAAAAATTGTGTAAACCCTTGCCCCAAAACGCCTTTTTTCTATCGTTTGCAGTGAAAATGATATCGGGATCGGCTTAAATAAATAAAAAAAAACATTCTTGTAGTATTACTTTGTGATAGATTTAGCAAAAATTACGTAAATGGCTAATATCTTCCCTGGAAAATCGATTTTCCGACTGAAAAAAAAATCGTCCAAATTAAAATCCCTAGCTATTGTTATTGGGAACAACACTTCAAACTTTCAGTTTGATTGGTAAATTGGTTTTCAAAAAATCGTTCACCGCAACGCAACTATTCAGCTGAATTCATGTTAGGTAGCGCGCTATAAATTGACTTAAATAAACTTAAGTTCTAGTGCTCCAATCTTATTCCGATTTTGAAGTTTTTAAGGAAATATTCTTGAAAGTGCTGTAGAATAAAAAGCAGATATGTTCTCTGCCGTGCTAAGCAACTGTATTTCTTAATATTTGTGCTTAGCAGATGTCCGCTTTTGAAACTACATATACTTTGAGAATATGCAATAATTATAGCAGAACGTAACACGCCACCAAAAAAAGTCGATTCCGATTTTGACCAAGTTTCGCTAAATCATTTTGCAAAAGGGTGACTACGTTTACTTTTTGTCAAAATTTAATATTAATATCAAACATTTTTTTAAATGGAGAAAAACTTTCACATAATTTTTTTTCTGCGCTGTGGGCTCGACAGCAAAAAATATATATTTTTTAATATTTTTATTTTCATTTTAACTGTCCTGTACCTACACTTGCTTCCAAATAATAAGTACACTTATAAACTAGATATTTTAATAACATCTTGTCCATGATAGTAAAATAGGTCAAAAAATCGATTTTAAAACCTTTTTTACTTTTTTCTTAAAAAGGGCCACTTTTATTTTTTTATTAGTATTAAAAAAAAGATTATTTCTTCCTCTAAATTTTAATGTATATATTAAAATGGGATCCCGACATTTAATTAAAAAATAAAAGGGTTAAAGCGCGCAGGGACTGTGTGTTGAGCAGCGCTTTTCGATCCACCACATAAGTGAACAATGATAAAGGTCTAACAATTTATGAAATCATTTAGTAAAAGTATTTTTAAAATTAATTTTTCTTGCCTTATTTTTATTTTTTGTCGAGAACACTCAGTGTGGAAAAAAAATTCATGACAATATTATTAAATGTTTACATAAAGTACGTGAACAATAAGAAAATTAAATTTTCAAACCCCTGTATATTTGCCTTCACCCTTTTTTGTCAAAACAAAATCGGAAATGGTGGAAACACTTGGCGTGTTTTGCCCCATGTAACTCTTTAATATTTTATTATAAAAACCAAATCTAAACTGTTCAATTGTTTGGTTTTATTAGTGCCTTATATTAAATTTACTTTCAGCCTGCTCAAAACTTTATGAACACACAGTTTTTCAATCCACAACAACCTGGACATATGGGCATGCGTCAAGATTTTTCGGTCGAGCCATTTAAAGACATCGGTTGGGATACAACTCGACCAAATATTGACCATCAAGAAAAGGTAAGTTTGTTTTATTTTATTTACCTTTAGAAATCATTTTATAACGCCAATACAATTTACAAGAAATATTCACGCAGTTAATGAAATAGCAACGTTTTCAGTATTTTTATTCAAATTAAAAAATTAAATATTTATAGGGCACTCACAGTTGCTTTGTTTTCAGGGCTGGAATGGCAAGTGGCAGTAAGGGTGTCATAAAAAGAAAAACGTACACGCGGGACAGTCAATTGAAGTATAGATAGTCGACATGAAAGGAAACTATAAGCGTTTTTAATTAATCGAACCCATCAAAATGCGAAAAGTAGTTTATATGTTTGTGATCTTAAAACAAAACTTTGGCAGTAGTATAGTTCTAGTTGTTTTGTTAACAAACCACCCATACAATGTTTGCGATAACATGATTCTGTGTGTTGTAAGCATGACAGGGCCCTGTATACAGGCCTTGTTTTATTTAGCACTGCCACTCGGCACGTGTATAATATTTGTGGTAATTTTTGCCCCGCGCATTCGATGAATGGTGTATTTAATTATACTATCAGACATGATCCTTATTAATTAAATTGAATTGATTGATTATTATTGTATTGTAGTAAGTTATTTGCATGTCTCATTTGTTTAACAACCGCTTATAGTTTACATGAAAGATTTTACAACGTTATCTTTTCCGTAGCTGACACATGAACACGCATTCAGGGAAAATGCCCGTTGCTACCAGTTTTCCCTCTCCTCTGCCAAGATTTCTATTTGTTCAGTCGCCGACAGGGTCCCTACCTATACATTACAAGTTTTTTTGTATATTTTATAAATTTCGTTATTCTATACGCTAATCAATTTTGGGACCCTATCGCCGAACTAATAATAACTAGTCTTGTCAGCAGAGAGCAACTGACTCGATGCGCATCGCGGTGGGCATTTTCGGCAGTGCTGTTGTAAATAATAAGTAAAAAACTGAACGTGAGGACGGCTTCACATGAACTTAGACATAATTATAATAAATATACTAAAACCATATACCATAATTAAAATGTATAATGTAGTTGCGCAGTGGTAATGAGGGATTGGCGATAGGAACACAAGTGTAAACTTGTCATTTTATTTGTTCTCTATTCGAATATATATTTTTCTGTCCTACATCATCTATGTGCAGAGATTTAGAGCTGAGTTGTTGCCGCTTGCCAAGGTCTAGAGGGTTGCGCCTTCGGTCAAGCCGGCACGATCGCAAGCCACTCCACAAAAACGTGTAGGATTATATTAAACGGAATATTATGTAATATTGCTTGTACATGAAGACTTAATATATCTTTATGCACTGTATAGACTTCCTTTTATTATGTGTTTATTCCAAACCTATTTTATTTTTCAGTACTTATCATACTTATTAAAGGTAAGTTATTTAATGAGGCACGTTGCCTCATTTCGATTTAAATCGCAAAATAAAAGTTAATCCTTGACACTTTTTAATTAATTCAAATAAATTACCAGTTTGGTTAAGGTAAGCGTTGTCATTTGCCTTATGTCATTTAACTAGTAACCTAGTTACTTTTGCTGTGTGATGCGTGTTTTGCAGACCTTGCCTTGTAATAGTTATTTGTTTTACTAGCGTTGAAAAGCGACTTTTTCATGCGAGTGCATTAACACGAGCTTGAAGAAAGCTTTTCTCACAAGTGAAACACAATGTTTTTTCTATGACACTTTTATTTTTTATTATTTTTAACGCTGAGACTAGACACAGCGTATTTTTAAATACAAAACAAAATAACCTAAAAACGTGTTTGACAGCTGTTAAATTTACTTTCATATTATTCTTTTAATTTTTAAGATATAAGTTACTTAAAATGAATATACTTACCTTTCCAATTTAAGTAAAGGCACTAAAAATTGGAATTTATTATAGGTACAAACAAATTTAATTGTGTTTTAAATGATCTTTAGACATACATATACAAATTTTGAAACGAATGTCAAACGATGAGCATCGACAGCACTGTTGATTTCTTTTCACACAGACCTGTCACTTTTCACACAGAAATGTCATTTTACCATTTATTATCTATGCATTTTACATTCGTGTTTTGCCTTGCCAATGAAAAGATTCATTTTCTAAGCAATGCCATTACGAAATGTGACTTTTACAAAGTGGTAGAAAAAAATCTTTAAATAAATTCTAACCTTAGTTAATGCTGGCCAACAAAAGCAGCAAAAACTTTACGAAAGAAGTGGTAAAACACCCGTGCGTGGCTTATTTTTCAAAAATAGGTATTAAAACAGTAATTGCAGAAAAACTCAACCAAAAACACCCGTGCATACAGGGTCGGCTTAAGGCAATTGAGCGCCTTAAGCACTTACAAATTTGACGCCTATTATAATACTAGATACTAGATACTATACTTACGGGGCCCGGGGCAGATTTTAGAAAAGCTTATCAGAGCCACTCCAATCTGTTTATTAAAAAAACGGCAAACATAAAAAATATAAATAACATACTTACTAATATAATATTCATAAAAAGTGTAAATCATAGAGATACAATGTATGTTTCTCTATGGTGTAAAGGTTATAAGTAAGTTTTCGGCATTTAAGGCTTGCAGATGTCATTAATAAGTATACTTATTAATTAATATACGTATATGTACATTAATGTACATATACGTATACGTATACATATTTAAAAAAAGGGTAAACATACATATTTAAAAAAAGGATAAACAACTTTAATTCCCTGTTTTTTTATGTAAGATGTACTTACTGCTGGTATGTTCAAATTATTAAATTATAAAATTTCATAAATACCTTAAAACATGCACTATCTAACTTTCGAACACATAGGTACTGCCACAATCCACACAATTGTGAGTGCCTCTATCTACTATATAAGAACTGATTAATTTTAAGTTTTTTTTATTTTTGTTTTAAATTTTTTCAGAGGTAATTACCTCTGAAGTTTAAACTTCGAAAATATTCTTGGAAACGCGATCGCGTTTCCAAAAATATTTTGTCGTTAAAAGAGTATGCTAGAAAATTGATCCATTTTGGGCTTTTTTTTCCCTTAAGGCGAGTGTCATGGCAGTGCACATCTTTTTGTAATTTAATAGATTTATTTTTATGTACATATTTTTATGTACATATATATATATATATATATCAGGCATTCCAAAATAAAGATGGAGGGCAATGTTATTATGCCCAATTTTCTAAATACAGGGCGAATTGTATACAATTCGCCCTGTATTTGAGTCTGGCTATTATTCTTGTTTTTCATTGTAGTCGACATTTTTTTAAATGGTGTGGGCTATGCGAGGATGCAGTATCTTATTATAGATTCATAGATCCCAAAGTAGGCCATTCAGTATTATAATACTAAAGAAAAAAACCATTTAGGAACCTTAAGGGTCCTAATCCTTTGATGTTTTATTATTGCATTGCTACACAGCAAACGGAAAAATTTTCCAAACCCTCGCCACAGTGTAGAGTTGTATTCGTCAGTCGAGCGTTTCAATACTCTCCACAGTATAGAGGTCGTAATTTGACTTTTGAACTATAGTATGAAAGTTATTTTATGCTTAAAAAAATATATACGACATGATTGTGATTTTTTTCATTTTATTAATTAATTAAGCTGTGTTGAATATTTTTCCTAAAGGAATAATTGCCAATGGGCCATTTGTTCGTAGACGCTACAATAACCTGCACTGGTGTGTACTTTTTGATCAACCAGATTTAAATATTGCTTTACTAACATAAAACTACCAGTGGAGATGTGCAGGGTCTACCAACAGACCTCATTACTAAATTATTAAAGTTTAATAGCATATCGATCATTTTTTCACATAACAAATATAGGTACTTTATATATATTATAATACATTAATATATGTACTTTATATTATATCCTCTGTGTTTTACATACCTGACTTGTTACGGTAAATAAAAATCAGGAACCAAAAAAGGAACTATTTTCAACAAAATCATATGCAGAAATGAAAATATTCAAACTACTTGCATTCATCAAAAGATCAAAACTTCTTGCAATATTGAAAAAATACCCTCTTTTTATGCTCTCAGAAGTATTGACTAGAACAGTATTAGAGAGACTCCAGTTTCTATAACTTGGTAGAGCAGGGTGGTAGAGTAAAGAGAAGTCGAAACCATTGCGATATTGCATTGCGCTGTTTTTGTATAATTCTCGGGGACATTAACAAAAATTATTACCAGTAAATTCGAAAAGCTTGAGTTTCTATGTTTCTGAAGAGAATAGGAATCCGAAATTTCTGCACCATAGGACTGAACCCTTTTTCAATAATTTCTAGAGACATAAATGACTGCACCATTCGATAGGCCCTGTCGGACAGGGTCGAGTTTCTACCTCTCTGTTGAATATAGAAAATCAAAATAATGTATCTTTTACGAGTAAGACACCATTGAGTTTGACTTTTTTCGTGCATAGGTATAGAGGCGAAAAATATAAAAACAAAGCACGATTTTATACAGTTCTGATAAAACTTAGATTTAGTATTCAAACGGGGAGTCACCTTATACAGTTCTATATTTTTCCGTTTGATGTGTACGTAATAAGGAATTCGGCGCTATATTAGGCTGTACAAATAAATAAAAGTTTTGTTAAAAAATTAATTAGTTGTAACTAACAATAAAAAGCCGCGGACACTTAAATATCTGGCCGGACACAACCGTAAAAGCCAAGCATGACGGGCTAAAGCCGGACGCCTGGCAACCTTATACTTATACAATAAAAATTTATAAGGGCGATTCCAACGAAGTGGTAAAATTAATTAATTTAATATTAATACTGCAGTATAAGCCTGTGCAATATTAGGTATTACCTAATAGGTAATAAAGGACATATTGTTTTTAACAATGAAAATGATCCCTGTTGTAAATGACCGATTAATTCCTGTAGAAATTGAAGTATTGGTTGGTATCAATGGGTCTGAATTGGACTAACTGGATTTAATTGGGCGCAATATAAAACAGAAATTGGTTTTACTGCTATTTTCCATGATGGAAAAGTCCAATTAATTAGGATTCTAATGGTTTTTATTGGTTTCGATTGGATAAAGCTACCTATAGGTAATTTCCAATTAAATTCAATTGGGCATTCCCAGTGTAAGATTTAAAAAATCTGCTAATTGGTTATTCCCAATACAATACAAATATCGCAAGAGGGCTCTCGTGTAGCTGCGCAAAATTAACGAGGTTGAGACGCCATCATAAAGAACGCCATTTATTAGCGGTTTTTTTTTATTAGTCGATTTCAGTGTTAAGTGCCTAGTGTTAGTAGTGTACTTATTAGGGTGCTTCAAAAAAATTACCCTCTCAAATGTTTTTATTTAATATAAAAAAAATCCTCACCATATGGGCTTTCCAGCTCAACTCTAAGAGGTCGCTGTTTTTATTTTAGTTTCCCATTGAATTAACATGGAAAAAAATTAATTTATGTTTGGAATTTTATATCTCTGTATCAAAGTAACTTATGGCAATGATCATTGCAGTTTCTTATATAAAATATAACGCTCTACAAAAAAGGTATCCTATTATTTTTCGATAAATTGATTTCTTCTAGAGTTATTCGAGGTCAAAGTTTTCCCCCTTTCACCTCCCGTCTGCTATTTGTACCAGAAAATTTGATGTTAATCAAACTTTGACCTCGAATAACCCTAGAAGAAATCAATTTATCGAAAAATAATAAGAAAGCTTTTTTGTAGAGCGTTAAATTTTATATAAGAAACTGCAATGATCATTGCCATAAGTTACTTTGATACAGAGGTATAAAATTCCAAACATAAATTAATTTTTTCCCATGTTAATTCAATGGGAAACTAAAATAAAAACACAAAAAAATAATAAAGAAACAAAATTACTCAGTAACAATACATTTTTTGTCTCTTCTGTGAAAAATGAATTCTGGTTTTTACCCGGTTATCCTTCTGGGATCTAAAATTATTTTTGAATGAAAAATAAACTGTTATTTTCTAATCCAAATTTTAAAAAAATAATTGATTTTAATTGGTTGGAATGGGTTTGGCGCTATGCATTACCAATTCATTCCATGTGCATTTCTATTGGATTTAGCCAATAGAGACAAGCATAGGCATGGATTGGTATTTTCCAATTCAAGCTGCTGACTTTATTGGAAATTACCAATAGGAATTCAACTGGAATGAATTGGTGATTCATAGCGCCAAAACATATTTCAAACCATGGTTGCAATTCAAACCAATTACTTATTTTTCATTGGATTCTATTGGTCATTTACAATAGGGATCTTTTATCCTTTATTAGATTAAAATTAGCAGGGCAGAATAGTTACTGTCTGTCATCCGACCCATTACTGACCCATTTAAAAATGGCCATTTTTACATATTTTAGAATTAGTTGTTTAATAAATTGAACAATACAATAATATGATCGTTATATACATAGGTATATTCTTCTAATTTTTATTAACCAATAACTAATTTACATTATTTGTACTTTTATTCTCAGAACTGAAATATTACAAGGTAACATAAAATTTACGAAACATCCTGTCCCACTTATTGGTATTCCAAAAAAAAAATTACGAGACTTAAGTCGACTTAAGTATTAGTCATAATGACTGCAGTCTTCCTAGTAATACCAAAAATCTTCATGGCTGGGTCGGCTTTTTACACGTTCTACTTTTTCTATGTGAGTCAAGCTTGTCTTTTCTATTGAAGGTTTTACCACAATTTCGACACGAAAATGGCCTCAAACCTGAGTGTATTCTTATGTGCCTTTGTAGGTTCGACGTGTGCGCGAATTTTTTGTTGCATATTTGGCATTTGAAGGGTCGCTCCTTGGTGTGTTTTCTTAAGTGTTTATTTAAGTCTCCCCTGGAACAAAAAAAAACATACTAAATAAAAAATAAAACACAATTATGGTTTGCTAAGGGTTTTTGTAGTATAATCTATATAAATTTATATAGATTATACCCTTGGCATTTCTATACCGAGATTAAACCCTTGGCATACCTCCTTTTTTAATCACAAACATTTTATTGGTAGGTCTTTCAAAAATTATATTTTTAATAGTTTTTGTTTTTTTAAGTAGGTATTATTATTAGGTATTATTATTATATATATATGTATTAAATTATTATTTGGGAAGTATATAACACAGTGCCACAAAATTTGATTTTTTCCCTCCCATGAAAAATTTATGTTTTTTTAGGTTTTGATACCAAGATTTTTTTCCAACATATATTGAATATAAGATAAATACAAATCTGTTCTTTTATTAAACAAAATCAAAAATTAAAAGTAGAAATTATTTTTTTATTAAAAAAAATAAAATTATTATTTTTTTACGTATAATTTTGGTACTTTGTAAAAACATATATCTCCTTTTTTAATCACAAACATTTTATTGGTGGGTCTTTCAAAAATTATATTTTTAATACCTAGTTTTTGTTTTTTTAAGTATTATTATATGTATTAAATTATTATTTGGGAAGTGTACAGTGCCACAAAATTTGATTTTTTCTCTCCCATAAAAATTTCGGTTGATTTTGAAAATAGACTTTAATAAATGATACCCGTGTCTCGGCGTTTTTTCAGATCACGTCTTTTTTTTAGTGTGATCCAATAAAATGTTGTTCACGGTATTCGGCACATACATATGTACCTACTATAATAGCTTCGATAACAGCTAGACTGTATAGTTTTTTAAAAATTTTAGGTACATTTTAAAATTATTACTATTAATATTATTTTATACAGGGTTGCACATTTACAAAATATATCAAGTGGTGTTTTTAGGTTGTGATACCAAGATTTTTTTCCAACATATATTGAATATAAGATAAATACAAATCTGTTGTTTAATATTAAACAAAATCAAAAATTAATAGTAGAAATATTTTTTTATTTAAAAAAAATATAAAATTATTTGTTTTACGTATAATTTTGGTACTTTGTAAAAACATACGTAGATGGTTTTTATAATTAACCATTTTGTTTGTTTTCTGTTTTTATATGTATATTATGCCACTTGTAAGCTTAACCTAGGCGATGTAAGCAAATGATTTAGAAAAAGTTGATATAAACAAAATTTTATACAATTCGTATCACAAGTGGACGTATTAATATGTCTATGGTATCATATATTTTAAATTCCCCACTTAATTATCAACTGACTATGCGCATAAGGTAAAATGATACGGCAAATCGACGGCTCGCAAGCTTCGCTCTTGCCTAATAAAACTCGTAACTAAAATGGCGTTTATAAAACTTGATACATAATATACTATTTTTTAATAATTAAACCAATCCAAAATATTTCCTACCTGTGTGTAAAGACTTTTTGGCAGTGTTCGCAAGCCATTTGCTTCTTAGGCGAACCTTCTCCTCGACTAGTTGAAGGTAATGGCTCCTGTTGACTAGGTGGGGGATATGATTTTTGTTCAATGACTTGTACCAATAAAGGTAGGGCTCCGTTTTTGCTTAGGCAATCTTCGCATTGACATCTTATATCATGCATGTCTTCTTCATTCTTGTTTTCCTCTTGGCTCATTTTAACATAGTTTTCCTCTTTGGGATATTTGTTTTCTTTGTAAATACGCATCAAAAATGGATTGGAAGTTTTCAAAAAAATATTTTGGCCCTTAAAATATAAAAATATTTTTGTTATTGTTATTAATATATTCTATATTCATTTCCCCTGTTTTTAGAAGTTACACTTTCACAGCATACGTACAGTAGGTATACGAACCTAATAGGTCAACAAAAAATTAAAAGTTTCTAAAAAGTTTAATTTTTTTATTTCTGAAAAATTTTCACCTACAATTTACGTTTTTAGGTCGATGATTTAGGGCAAAAACTTTAAAAAGCAGATGGCGCTTAGGTAACCAAAAAGGCATTTAGCTTTTTGACCCCAAAAATTTATTTTATATTAAAAACTAGGTACCTACAAAATTTCTACGATAAACCATCACGGTGTTTGGAAAAAACTTGAAAAGTGTTTTGATTTCATTTTAATCAAAAACGGTACTTATGTTTTAGAAGAAAATAATAAAAACAAAAATGTAGTGGGCAACTTTCTTAACTAGAGTGCTGCGTTAAAAAAATCGGGGTCTGAAAGTGATACAAAAAAAGTTTATATACAAAAGTGCTCTTTTGGTTCCACCCTTACTTCCTAAGAAGTCCCAGAAGCCAACTGATAAAACGCTTTTTTGGGCTCTTTAGCGCCACACACTTTTTGAACTTTTCGTCGTAGAGCTTTGACCCAATGAAATAAACTTTAGGGGACAATACCCAGTAAATTTTTTATACAAAATATTTTTTCTATAGCTTACCATTTTCGAGGAAAATGAAATAAAAAAAAGAACTAAATTAAAATGAGTTTATACCTTAATACGCAGGGGGTTATATTCCGCAAAGTTGGGGTTAAGCTTTTCTTTTAAGCATGCAAAAAATGACTATGGTCATTGAAATTTGTAATTATTAGCATCCAAATAAAAAAAATTGTAATAAAATTTTTGTAAATTTAATTTTTTTTGTAATCAAATTGTTTCTTCTTGTAATATACAGGGTGTTCCAGAATATGTGGGCAATCTCCCGGATTTAGATATAACACAAAAATAATGTGACAAGTTTCTATAAATTTTTGTCCTACGGTCCCCCCTACGGAGATACCGGCCTATAAGGGACACCCCTGGAGAGAAAAAAAATAGGATCGAAAATTTCAAAACACTCTATTTTCAACTGACACTGACATTATTATTTAAATCGGTAAACGTAAAAAAAATGCAAAAAAAATAAAAATAAATGTAAAAAACCCTATTGTACAAAACATTTTTTTTTCGTAAACAGTAAATTTTATCGATGTCGATCAAGATTACCTTTTTTAGTTTAAAGTTTAAGCTGACTATTATTGTTGTGCCTTTATAGTACAGGGTGTTAAAAAAATAGCCTTACTCTGTTAGAGCTAGTCCGTCCCTGGCAAACTAAATAAGCCAAATATGATTAAAAGTGCCCATTTTAAGGAAACTTTCTTAGTAAACAATATATTTAAAAACTATTCAATTCCACCTTTTAGTTCAAAAGTTATTTAAAAAACGACTTCCAGGGGCGTCCGTTAGGGGCCAGTATCTCCGTAGGGGGGCCCTAGGAAAAAAATGTCTAGGAACTTGTCATATTATTTTTATGTGTTATATTTAAATCCGGGAGATTTCGCACATATTCTGGGACACCCTGTATATTAAATTTTTAATAAAACTGTTCAATATATTATCCTACCAGTTAAAATCCAAATAAACAAAACCCTTTCAAATATTTTTTCTTTTATAAACTTTATTTAAAAACTTTAGTTTTATTTGTACGTATGTAAAAAAGCCAACTTACCAACTGAAAAATGTTAAAATCACTTAAAAACTTTGCACAGAAACTGTTTTCTTCTTCTATCAACGGAAGTAGTGGAGTTGAATCCAGCGGGATTGTGGAAATTAAACTGGGTAGAAATTCGTGCATAATGGGAATGCTTCACTAGAAAATACAAGTGTGACTAATAAATTTCAGTAGGATTTCGCCGGGTATTTTGATTTTTGCCGCTAAGAGTCCATGCGCTTTTACGTCATACACACGGGGAAATCCTGCGTTCGAACGGCGTGGAAGGGGAACGCAGGGATCCCCGATTACGAGCGGGTGTTGTTCTCAGGTGATAAATTAACATTCTTGGTAATGGAGATTTCTAAAAGAAAAGAATACATAATCATCAATGTCATCAGTTAAAGAAATATTATATGCTGTTCTTTTCCAAATTTTAAGTCTGTATACCTACAGTGTGACCCATTTGTTTGCGACTTACCCCTGTTAAATCTTTATTTATTGTGCGATTTTAACCGGATTTGTTTTAAAGTGTAGATCTTGATAAACTGTATTTTTAGATAGAGATGGAAAAATTCCCATTTGACGAAAATTCCCGGAAACTTTCCATCGAAAATTTCCGAAAGTTTAAAAAAAAATTTTTATTGCGAAAATATTTTTTTATGCCAGGGATTTGCAAAAATATATAACACATTAACTTTTTGTCAAATTTTTGGTTGCATTAACGACATAGATTTTCTTACAGAACTTGCTCTGAGCATGGTCTTTTTTGTTTTTTTGCACTATTTTGTAATAATTCCAAACACTAGATTTTTCTCTTATATATAATATAATATTATAAATAAACAACAAAAATGCAAGAATGATTTTAAATTTGTTTATTGTTTTTATTTTGTTTACCTTTTTTTAAAGTTGATGTTGATGCTGAATAATCCGGCTTTATTGAGGTTATGTAACATAACTTACATTATTTATACTTCTTATTCTGCTTTAAATTTACACAAATTAAATTCTTATTCAAAGCCTTGTATCATGGCCTTAACGAAAATCAGCGGTTAAACAATTGACATTTAAATGAAAAAAACAAGGAAAGTTTTCAAGGAATGTTTCCAAGGAATGTTTCCGGTAGCTTAAAAGAAACTTTCAAAATGAAAATAAATTCCCAATTGGAAACTTTCCAAAACGGAAAGTTTCCTTAAAATGGAAACTTTCCGATTCCCATCTCTATTTTTAGATCAAAAAACGCCATATTTTTACAAAATACAAGGCCTATGTCAGTTTTTAAGAGTAAATTTTTAAGAATTCATATTAGCGATTTAAAAAAAAAAATCTAAGCACGGCATTGGATTCATCACCCCTCAAATGGACCCTTTACTAAATTTTATTGTTTGTAGTTAAAAATGCAATTAATTTGGCTTTATTGGTGCGTAGATGAGTAAAATCATATAAAAAAAGTAGTTAAATGTAGGCGACTACGGCCCAGTATAGACAAAGTATTCCTAGCGGATAATAATCTTCGCTTTGAAAAGAATTTATATTAAATAAATTAAAATTTTATGTGAACACAAGTGAATGTTGTCCAATCATTATTTCCCCCTTATTTTTTAAAATTTCAAAAATTTTTGATCTGCTTAGCTGAAAATAATGTGTGATTTGTAATGTACTTTTTCTGCCATTAAGGCATTTGGCCTAACTTCATCGAAATTAAGTTTTGCCCTTAAAAGTTTTTTTACTTTAGAATCTGATATTATTTTTGGCATAGTTATCTTTTTATATCGATATTATATAATAATTATTAACAAGTAAATTATCGTAAGTAATGTCATAAGGGCATATAATTTTTCCAAAAAAAAAAATCGAAAAAACACATTGCTAAGTAATATTTTAACTATTGAAAAAGGGGGCAGTCCAATAGTGAAGCAACTTCGGATTCTTATTCTCTTCAGATTAACTCAAGATTTTGGAATTTTCCTGGCAATGATTTTCGTTAATGTCCCCGAAAATTATAAAAAAACATCGCACTAGTTCAAAAGTCAAATTACGACCTCTATACTGTGGACTCCACAGTGTGGAGTTACACTGGAGGGTATTAAAACGCTCGACTGACGAATACAAATCTATAGCGTGGCGAGATTTAGAAAACTACATTCAAAAGTGGCATCATCCTATACACTTAAGTGTATATTCTATAATTTTCCGTTTGCTTTGTTTGAAATAAAATGTATAAATAATAAATAAATAAATAATATAATTGTTTTATTTTTAATTGACACGATAGTTTTTATAAAACAATGTCTAACAATTTAATTTAATTACAAAATCGTGATTAATCCACAATTATTACAACTATTATAGTAGTATAAGTTGGAAAATAATTGCACCTAACTGTTTAAACCAGTAGGTACTTTTCCAATGTTTTTACCAATTACACATGCTAAATAAAATACTTCCCAGAACGACACTTTTATTTATACGTCATGAATTGTTAATAGAGGAGGCTTGTTCTCCTGACATAACCAGCTGGTTGTATATTTTTTATATGGTTTTTAAGTACGCAGTACCATCGTTAAATAAAGAATATCTACATAATATCTATATCTATATATCTATGGAACGCCGTTGTATTTTTTAATCAGGAATTTCTAATATCACTTTTGAATTTCAGATATCTGAAATTAATTTCAGATATCTAAAATTAATTTCAGATATCTAAAATTATAGGTATTAAAAAGTACTTTGGCGTTCCGTTAACGCCAAAATATTTTTTAATCAGGAATTTTTGTTGTAACTTCAACTAATAGTCATATTTGTAATTACAATTAATTGTGTCAACTGTTTTAAACAATATTAATAATTCAACTAATTTTAAACTCAAAAATAATGTGGAATTAAAAATATCAAAGTGACCCTAAAATTAAAGTCAATTTTTAATTCAAAGTGATATTTGCAATTCACAGGAATTATCGATATCAAAGTGACCAGAAATTTCAAGTTAATTTTTAATTCAAACTGATATTCATAATTCGCATGAATTATAAATATTAACTGGAATTTTTAATTTAACTTATTTTTCAACTAAAAAATGATGTAGAATTAAAATATTAAAGGGAAACTAAGAATTATTTGATATTTTTAAATGAAAGACATATTTTTAATTCCCACAGTTTGGACATCCCTGGTAATGTTGACGGTTCAATTTATCTACTACAGTAGGTATATTTGCCTTAATCTCAGTTAAATTATTTTGCGGCATTGTTGTTTATATAATACCGTTTTTATTAATAATAGGCATAATAATTAATTTTAATTAAATTACCTAATATTTTAAATATTTACACAGGTATTCTCATAAATCGTTAAGTAGGTCAACCGAGTCAGTTGAACTACTACACATTATCTCCCTAGATTAAAGTGACCATTCGTCCGTCATTCTGACGGACCGTCCGTTAATCAGACTTGACGTCCTGCATGGAAAATTGTCCGTCAAATTGTCCGACATTATGATTCATAAATTATGAATATTAGTTTTTTTACAATTTATTAATTATTTTATACTCAATAAACTTATACTGTATAAGGTATTTTATCTTACACCACATCCATCTTAAGAAATTCATAAATCAGATGCGATGCGAAAATAACGTCAAGTTAAATGAACTACCGACCGCTTAGAAAGTAGTAGGTCCATTCGTACACTCGGGTACTCGTAGTTCGTTTGCAAAAAGAGACTATGAGTAATCCCCCGCTAGAACGAGAATTCTTTGCTGTGCTGGGTAGGGCTGCCAGACCTCCCGATTTGGGCGGGAGTCTCCCGATTTTACAGCAAGCCTCCCGATTTTTAAAAGACGTCTTAAAGCTCCCGACTTCCTTGAAAACCTCCCGTAACTCCCGTTTTTTGGCAAGCTTCATCAAGTTCCGAGTCAAGTTCCTTTAATCCACCTTATTTTATTCAATTTTTTTTTATAAAGTTGTAAATAGTGTGCTAGCATAGCCTATGCTGCATAGGTATTCAAATATATTTGTATAAATACCACAATGTGACAAATACCTATGCCAGAGCACTCTATTGAAAAATTTGTAACTTAAGTACGAATTCGTACTGTAGAAAACATTTTTACGTTTACCTTATTTCCGCCAGGGTGCGGTACTAGAAAAAGAATTTTTTTAACCTCCCGCATTTTAATTTTAAAAATCTTGCAGCCCTAGTGCTGGGCTGCTTTTTTTATTTGCTGTTTTCAAAAGTAAGTTACACCTTATTTACCTAAAAACACTCGACTCACCTTGTGTTTATTACAGTTTAATTTACTTTACGTATGATTTATATGATATGAAATAATGGCTCCGAAAAGAATGTGTAAATTTACCTTCTTTATCTCTGAGCCTCTTGGCATATATACTAACGTCCGTCATTTGAGTCTTTAAAATATGGTCACTTTACCCTAGATAAATCTATTTAGGTTTATCTCTGCCGGGAACGAAGCTAAAATTGTTAATATATTTACTACATAGGTAAGTATTAATAAAAACGATATTATATAAACAAAACTAGTGCCGCAAAATAATTGAACTGAGATTAAGGCAAATATACCTACTGTAGTAGATAAATTGAACAGTCAACATTACCAGGGGTGTCCAAACTGTGGGAATTAAAAATATGTCTTTTATTTAAAAATATCAAATAATTCTTAGTTTCCCTTTAATATTTTAATTCTACATCATTTTTTAGTTGAAAATAAGTTGAATTAAAAATTCAAGTTGATATTTATAATTCATGCGAATTATGAATATCAGTTTGAATTAAAAATTAACTTGAATTTTCTGGTCACTTTGATATCGATAATTCCTGTGAATTACAAATATCACTTTGAATTAAAAATTGACTTTAATTTTAGTGACACTTTGACATTTTTAATTCCACATTATTTTTGAGTATAAAATTAGTGGAGTTAAAAATATTGTTTAAAATAATCGATACAATTAAAAATATGACTAGCAGTTGGAGTTGCAACAAAAATTCCTGATTAAAAAATACAACGGCGTTCCATATATATCTATATTATATTTTTAATCAACGTTACTAGTTAAATTAGTAGGAATTTATGTTTTCCTAAAAAAGTTTTATAAAATGTGAGTGACTTTATAAATTTAGTATTTCATAAAAGCTTTTATGAAAGCACCTAGGTGCTTATGTCGACGACTTTCTGCCAAAGTATCGCAAGCAACATAACTAAAATTTCGGGAATTGAAAACATTTTTTGTTTTAAAGTCTGTTTTAAACCAAATATAACCTACAGGTTTTATAACAAGTAAATAACTATAATTATAAGCTAAGTATACGTATAATTATAATTACTTATTATTAAACCTTTAGGCTATATTTAATTTAAAACAGACAAGCATCGATGTAGTTTTTGGTACGTACTTGTTTTAATATGTAATAAATACCTACTATAAAATTCACCTAAACATTGTTTTTTATCCTATTAATAATTATACCTAATTTAGAGTATGGAAAACTCATAGGTATTTATATTTTTATATAGCGCTCCCCTAGCGAATTCGTCGAACGGTAAAATAACGTTAATTTTGCGTTGATTTAGTGTTAACTTCATAAATGTCAACGGAAGTTTTTAATTTAGCGTTACTTTTAAGTTGTAGCAGTTAACTTTAAGATCAGTGGACGCAAAATATTTTCGTTGGTTTGAACCAAAACATGCTTCACAATCAACACAAATTTAACGCTAGTTTTGTGTTCACAACCGAAAACTCAGCACAATTCCAACTTTATCATACATTCATTTGTTGCTATATTTTTTGTCGAAATCTTTTTTGACTACGCAAATCCAACGTAATAATATTAGGGGTTTTGAATGTTTTATACCTTGGTCATAGACTGTATGACCTTGGTATACACTAGGGTGTGCCAAAAAACTCGATATTTTTTTTTCTTGCTCTCCACCCAAAATATCGTAGAATATGTCCGAACAAATATCCTGTTAAAAGCGGAGCTCATAATTTCAATTTTAAGAGGTCCTTCATCGAATCTGAAGTTTTGCCGCTTAAATAGCACAGAAAAGTTTTCTGAGAAAACTCACTTTTTTACCTTATTTATTCTTGCAACTTAGGAAGAAATTTTTTGTTCATAAAATCTATGACCAAATCTTACAAAGCATTAAATTTGGACGAAAACATCTTATTAAGCCGAATTTCTATTTTCATTTTTCATTTTTCCGAAAATTTCACTAAAAAAAAGTTAATAATACAAAAATGATGACTTTATACGCCTGTAACTTTTAGAATATTGACGATACAAAAAATTTGCCTAAAACTTTTTTGTGGTCCATCAGACAAGCTAAAAAATTGCCATTTGACTTTTTCGTCTAACTTCAATAGTTTAGCTGAAAAAGGCAAAAAACTTAAAATTTTAAATTTAAAGCTCTGTAAAAAATCAAATAATAAAAATTTAATTCGGCAATTTATGCTTTACAAAAAAGGTCCTTACACAAAATTACTTCAGATGGATAGTTTCAGATATAAACCCGATTTTAGTATCAAAAGTTTTTTGAACATTTTGATCTTTAATTGAGTTGGGCGAGCCTAGGATGTTGATCGAAAATATTAATCTTTTACACAAAATTTTTTTACAACATAATGAACAAAATTTTTGCTATTACTAAACGAAATTCTAAAAAAGCGGATTTTCGGCCCACTCTAATATACATATCTGTAAAAATTTGTAAATTTTTAGAAAAATTGACTTTTGCATTTTTTCGTATTACTAAAATATGGTGTTAAAGACCGTATTTGTTAGTTAGTATAGGTACACTGAAAATTTTGTGCAAATAAAATGAACAGTAACAAAGATACAGCGATTCAAAGTCCTCAAAAATGAACACTTTTCAGCAAAATATTCAAAAAGGGGCAATTTTTACCGACTTTGAAGTGCTGTATCTTTGTTACTGTTTGTTTAATTTGTACAAAATTTTCAGGGTATACTAACAAAAATACGGTCTTTAACAGCATATTTTTTATTTATAAAAAAAAATTCCCTAAAAGATATTTTTCGAACGTTTTTTCATTATTAAATAAAAGGGCTTTAAAAATATTTTCTCGAAAAAACCTCGAACACGTAAACTGAGATATAAGTTGAAGTATTTTTATCCAAAGTTTCAAAAAGAATAATTAAGGCGTTTTAGAGTTAGATTTTTTTTATAGTGGTTCCCATACTGTATATAGTATAGTAAGTATACTACGAGTATATAATATATTATGATATTTTAAATTCTCTATCTTCAAGCGTTCTATAATTTCAACTTTATTATTGTCAACATTCGATAAAGTGATTATCGCCTAGACTGTAAAAATAATTTAGACCAATCGGGTAAAGTTTTTTTCCTCCTAGTCGGCAAAAAAACCTGTTTAGATAAATCAAAATATACTGTCAGATCTGCCTAACCTCACTCAACTTAAACAACAAGGAAATTATTCTTTTTTAATGCTCTTATTACTTTACTACAACATATTTTCGTACCTACATACTTGTTTTGCAAAATAAAATTTAAAACTAAATAAATTAAAATTTTTTGTATACTTAGCCAAACCTTCCACGGCACCCCTATTTTTAGTATTCGACCACTAAATGATTCAGGATAGGTTAGAATTAAAGTATCATGATGCTGGTGTTAAAAGTAATTTTATTTTAAACATTGCACAAGTACACAATACAGAAATGGATTGACTGGCTGGTCTAGATTCATTTTCATTAAGTAATTAGTAAGTACATACGATCGTGATTAAAGTCTTGACATTTAGTATTGGAAAAGTAACGCAAAACATAACATTTAACATAATCTCAAAGGGGAAAAATTTATTACACGTTAAATAAATACACGTTACTAAATTTTCTAATACTTTTAGCTTTTTACGTTTAGAAGAGAGAAAAACTGATGACGCTTGGATTAGTTATCCTGTTCGGGCAACATGTAGGCTGGGACCTGAAATCACAAAAATATTAATTGAATTATTTAAATAGACAAAAAAAAAACATTAAGTTGTACCTAAATCCATTTGAAATAACATTACGATTTTTTCGAAGATTTTGCTGCCTGCTGCAATTTTGAATAGGTGTAAGATTAAGGAACAAATTACAGTCGGCATTAGCTGCAGCTACAGTCGGCATTAGTCGGCAGCTATTAAACTTACGAAAATGCCGAGTCAGTAATTCAGTAATTTACAGAAAAATGAGAATCCAAGAATTTTAATTGAGCACGAGCTAGCTTGCGAGCGAGTGTTTAATTAAATGAGTGTCTAGAAAAGCTTATAAACAAGTTGCATACTATACTTTTTATACGACAAATACTTATTGTAATTTAAAAATTATTTAAATAAAATATTTGTTTAGAGCGACATCTATAAGAAAAAGAGTAACTCGCTTAACAATTTCAAACTTGGGAATCAGTATTATATATAAATATAGTTTACTGCCGGTAAAATCAAAAGATCAGTACAAACTTGCATATAAACTTTTCAAATACGTATTGGCATTGAGAAACTATTTAATACTTTTTATTTTTGTATTAGGATAATAATTTCCACATTATTATTTCACAAGGGCACACCTGTCAACTAACTTTAAACTAACTGCAGCCTGTGACTAAAAACCGGGTGCTAACTTCAGCCCGTTACTAAAACGCAATAAAGCCACAACTTGTTAATGTGTATTTAAAAGTTCACTTAGTGTCATAAAAACATGTCCGATGTTATTCATGGTAAATATGCATAATGTGGTAGAGGGAAATGGTGGGGGCAAACAATTTAAAATTGAAGATGTGAGAAGCAAAAGGGTACAAGTGCATTTTAGCATGAAAATAGTTTTACTGCAGAATTGGGTTGTTTAAACTCCAATTTTTTTTTTTAATTTCTTAGAACTTGAATATTGTACGAGTTCTGCATGTTGATTAATGCAAACAACAATATTGAAACAAGTATCCAGATTTTTGGATATAGCAAAAACTTTAAAAGTAAATAACTCCACTTCTCTTTTTTGTACTTGTACCCTTTTGTTTCTTACCCCTTCAATTATAATTATAAGATTTTAAATGAAAAATTAAAGTTCACGTGTTCGAGCATTTTTTATAATAGTATATTAATATATATAATAGTATATTACACGAATTTAATTTAGGCACGAGCGAGCTTGCGAGCGAGTGCTTAAATTAATGAGTGTATAGAAAAGTTTATAAATGAGGTGCATACTATACTTTTTCTACGACAAATACTTATTATTATCTTAAAATGATTTAAATCAAAAATTTTTATAGAGCGCCATGAAACAATAGGGGAATCTGTGTGTCACCTTCAAATTACACATTTTTACATTTTATAAACACAGATTATAAAGGTCATAAATCGAAATGTATTTATTGAAAATTGACAGTTTTTCAGTGAAAGTAAAGAAAATGTTTTATGAGAACTTTACAGTGGAGTCCGTGCCCGAATTTAAGTTATAGTTTACTGCCGGCGAAATTAAAAGGTCAGTACAATGTTCATATAAAGTTTTCAAATATTGGCGTTGAGAAACTATTTAATACTTTTGTATTTTTGTATTGAGATAATAAAATAATTTTCACATTTAGTATTATTTTACAAAAAAGGCACTTTATTTTAACGATTGTATGACATTTGACAACTCTCAACTAACTTAAAACTAACTTCAGCCCGTAACTAAAAACCTGTTGCTAACTTTAGGCCGTGACTAAAGCGCAATAAAGCCACAACTTGTCAATGTGTATTTAAAAGGTCACTTAGTGTCATGGAAACATGTACGATAAAGGGCGTTTTAAAGGTGGGAGTAGAAAAAAATCTTTTCTCATTAAATAACAAATTTTATTTTATAAGTGAAACAAACTGTATTTATGTATATTATCGGAACCTCGGAAAATGCTGACACCGAAAAACTTGGAGGGAGGTGCGACACCCCCCCGCACCTCCCATCGTCACGTCCCTGTAATAACCTTACAAATGTAAAAGAGGTCGTTTATTTAAAGCTTTCATTTAATAATTTATAGTAAGCGCTTTATTAAAGAAATTAACACTTTTGTGTCCCCAAAAAAAGTCCATTTATGAATATTAGAATATCTTGCTGAATTTAAATTTTTACTTTATAAAAATAAATTCCCATAAAAACGGTAGGTACCTACCTACATTTTTATACCGTCCATTTATGAAAGCCTTACTATATTAGTTCACTTAATTTCATTTCAACAAAGAACACGATCTTTATGATTTTTCATGCATAAACTTTGATTTAATTTAGTCTTTGATTATTTTGGCAACGCAGTATAATAATTTTATTATTGCTAATATACTTGGTATATTCCCATGTTTAGAAATTGTTCCGCGAGTTACTCTATTTTTTTTATATATGTCGCTCTATACAAATATTTAATTTAAATTATTTTAAGATAATAATAAGTATACATGTATTTGTCGTTGAAAAAGTATAGTATGACACTCGTTTAAAAACTTTTCTAGAGACTCATTTAATTAAGCAACTCGCTCGCTCGCGCCTAAATTAAATTCGTCACGACGACAAATACATGTACTTATTATTATCTTAATAGTATATTATGTATCAAGTTTTATAAACGCCATTTTAGTTACGAGTTTAATTAAGCACGAGCGAAGCTTGCGAGCGAGTGTTTAATAAAAACGAGTGTCTAGAGAAGTTTATAAACGAGTTGAATACTATACTTTATCTACGACGAACACAAAACAGAATTTAAATCCAATTTTATTTGTTAAAATTTTGACATCTGTCAACTGTCACCCGAATTTAACCTCACTTTTTCCAATTTATAATAAAGTTAACTTCAGCCCGTGGCGTAAAATGTCGAAAAGCCACTGTTGTTAACTTCAGCCCGTCAATAAAACGCCATAAAGTCACAGCTCGTCAATGTAGGAGTAGATAAAATGATTTATATTAATTATTTGTATATATAGAGCGACATCAATAAAAAAAGTAGAGTAACTCGCGTAACAATTTCTAACTTGGGAATCTGTCAAAGTTTAAAATTTGTATTTGTATATCAAAATTTATGCCTTGAAAATGTACTAACAACTGTTTAAATGATGATATAGAAACGGTTTCTCAAAGCGAAAGTAAAGAGTATGTTTTATGGGCACTACGGTGGAGTCTCCACCCGAAAATTTTAATGCTTTCAGTTAAATCTAGTTTACTGCCGGCAAAATCAAAAGGTCAGTACAAACTTGCATATAAACTTTTAAAATAGGTATTGGCGTTGAGAAACTGTTCTATACTTTTTATTTTTGTATTAAGATAATAAAATAATTTCCAAATTATTAACGCTATATTAACGATTGTATGACATTTGACAGCTGTCAACTAACTTAAAGCTTTCTTCAGCCCGTGACTTCAACTTCAACTTCAAAAACATGTTTAATTCAACAAACTTTGCTTAAAACTGTTACTCTTTATATGCACTACACAGTGTAGTCTTTACTAGAAAACTTTCTAGTCCACACTGCCCTGCTAAGTTAAAAGGTCCAATCTACAATATTAAGATAGCTTACAATGTTGTCAAATTAAAAATAGTTTTTTTTTCTGTTTTGTGTTGGTTTGGTGTTGTTTGGTCCACAAATTCGTCGTCATTTTATTATATCAATAAAATTATATGGGAAAATCAAACCAATTTAACACATTCAAAGACATAATTTTAAATTTAACAACATTGTTAACTCGAATTCTTTCAATGAATGTTAAAAGTATGTGTATTGCATAAAAAAGGTGATAATTTAAGCAAAGTTTGTTTATTTTAACATTATAATAATAAATTTTGTGGCTTTTTTACACAAAAATTAACGATTAAAAAAAGCGCTTTACGAAAATATGAGTAGGAGAGGACCATATTTTTAGTTTATTTTTTGTTTTAAAATTTATTCATCTGGGGATTTATGTTTAACGATATTTCAAAACTACTTTAATAATTGCATTTTGGAATTTCACCCCACATTTGTATACATACAACGTTTCATTAATTCGTCTACGTGCACGAAGGAAAAATATTTGTCGTTATGCTAAAATATCGCTCATAAGTAGAAAGTTAAAAGAAAAAAAACCGCCGGGTCTCTGCTACTTTTAAAATTGTTTGCAAAAAACAATTTTACTTATTTAAATTGAATCTTTCAAATAAAATATTCATGAGATATTTTATTCCAGTACCTAAATCCTTGAGTGGATAGAGTACCTTGTGTTATTTTTAGAGATTCTAAGTAGGAAAAAGTTTTTGAAACTTTTGCTTTTAATGCATCATAACACATGCATACTCTTATATTTAGGACTTTTAAAAATTGGGAATGCACCAGAAAAATATTCATATTTATGTTATAAGAAATAATTTAATAATGTTTTGTTTTATAATACAAATTTAAATTTATGTTTTTTTTTAAACTGCAGAAATAAATTCTTTACTAAAAAATACAATAACCGATTCGAATAAGTTACTTCCGGTTACAAATATGGGTGGAGCCGCCACCATGGAGGGTTATCGAACTAACAAACAATAATTTACAAGTGTTAACTTAATTATTAATATGATATTCATTTTTTGGCTGTAACCTTTTAGCAACGAACCGGCATCGATGAAATTAAATTTTGGGTAGTAATCAGCGGTAGATTCCTCCAAACTTCGTTACTTTTATTAATCTATGCCTGCTTGTTTGAAAAGTTTTTGGTACGAATCCGACGTTTAATCTCTTCCCACAGGTTCTCGATGGGGTTGAGGTGAAAGTTTCACCGTGAAACCACTTTCGAACAAGGCGATATGAGTGTTTTGGATCATTGGTCTGAAAGACAAACCGCTAAAGCATCTCAGCACTCAGCGTACAGTAACAAAAGGTTTTGGAGTCCCTGTATACCGATCCATAGTACCACACAGTAAAAAATTTTGCCCGTGTAAATTTTTTAGTGTAGGGGTAAAAATATTAGAGTTGATTTGTAAGTGTAAAAGTTACACTACAAAATACACTAGGTAGCATTTAGTGCTTATTAACTTTATTAAACACATTTAAAGAATATGAACATTATTCATTGGTACATTTACACTATTTATTATTAAAATAAATCAAAAGGGTAGAAAAACTTAATGCGAGTGTTTATTACCCCTTAATGTGTTAAATAGTGACAAAATGTACACTACAGTGCATGCCAATTTCTTTGTCTGTTTTGATGTTACTAAGAGCTTTTTTTTCTTTACACTACTAGTGCACATTGTATCATAATTAAAGTTAAATTACACCAATAGTGGCAAAATAGACTGAAAAAACTGGTAATAACCGAAATGCGTTTTAAAATGTTTGGTTGGTACCTATCTACCTACGCAGTGCATATCCGGAGATACCGCGTTTTGGAAGTGGACATTCTTATTTTTTGGTAAGTATTAAACTTCATTTTTTTCTAAGCCTTAATACTCAATAAATACCAATATGTTAAAAGGATGTCCATACCCGACCTATATTATATATCAATAATTTACGGCAGTAGGTCGGGTACTTGTAACAATAATAATATAAATACATACACACTTGATTTACTTTTTATTTTCAAGCGTAATGGTTTTTATATTAACCTATATCTACATTATTATTAATATTATGGAAAATTTGTACACGTGTGGTAAATCCCCGACATACAGCCGCCTGACGCCTCTCTACCAAAAGGATCACCCATTTTTTATAACAGAAAAATGGATTACTGATGAATTCTCAAGATAATTCATTGCTTACAAGTTGACAGCCAGTAAAACATTGCATTGATCTAAAACTTTTTCGTTTTAAGGAACCATTTTGCTTAAGCCAGCCATACGACTCAAATATAAAATTATATTTTAAAAGACACCGATTTTGATAATTGTCATGGATTTTTGTTTCAAATAAATGTTTCTCTCTATTTACATTTTCGTTTTATTCACTACCACATATAGGTTTTACTCAAATAATAGTTTTAATTTACACTAGAAGTTTGCACTAAAAGAGAAAAGTACCTTTCTAAAATTAGAACCTTTTCAAAGTACCTATTGTTAATTTACACTGTACAAAAGTGGGATTTTACCCAGGAAGTGTAGAAGTACACGATTTTAAGTCAATTAACACTTTTTAATACAGTGTAAAATTATCCTCAGTGCTATAGTGTTAAATCATACTTGCTTACTTAAAATTACACTACAAATTAACTCTAATTGTAGTGTTATAAGACAATACTATTTAGTGTGGACCTGTGTGAACTCTAATTAGTGTTGCTTAGAGTTGATTTTTTTTACTGTGCATCTATGAAGTATAACTGATCCATGCACTCAATTTTTCATGCTGAACGTCTGCTGTATAGTTTCGCTTCAACTAATCTCTCACTAACTTACAATTCAGCAATTATTCTTGCATGAGTCATGGTCATGCCATCTCTTTAAAAAAAATTGAAATTGAAATTATCTAACCAAGACGGATCAGATAATTTCATGATAATTTCAAGACTTAGTTTCCTAGGTTTCTACCCTTTTACTATCTTTTAATTATTGCCGAGGTAGTCTATCACAAGACTTGAGCGCAATTTCAAAGTGATTTTTACTATAGTACCTACCACGCCTACAAATAATAATATCTTATTTGCAAATTTACATGGCCAAAACTGTATTACCATAGATTCTCACTCACTCAACGGTATTACTACTTACATAAAATTTTGATAAAGACCAAAAACATCAGAGCTGGGAAAGTTTTTTCTGGAAAGTATCTAGTTACTTTTCTAAGATACTTTAAACAAAATAACTTAGTTACCTCTGGTAACTAGATACTTTGAGTTAAAAGTATCTTTAGTTACAAAATACTTAATACTTTTGAGTAACTGAGATACTTTTAAGTATGAATAAAAACTATAAAATTATAAAAATTCAACAAGTTGTAGGTTAGGTAAATACCTACTTTGAATCATTCTGGAATTCCCCCAATTTTCTCTAAAAGTTACACTGAAAAATATCTAAGGTACTTTAAAAAGTATCTTAGTTACTTTAAAAAATATCTTAGTTACTTTAAAGTATCTTAGTTACTTTACCGAGTAACTTAAGCCGCGTCCAGATTTGTACCGCGTCGCGCAACCGTACCACGTCGCGAGCCACGTTGCGAACCACGACGCGAATTTCATCCCGCAACCACGTACGCCGCCTCGAACAACATACCCTACCTAGGGTTGCAACCATTGCCGGGTTCCAATTTTTAGTCAGATTTTAAAATGGATATCGCTGCAGCAGCAGTACATTTATATTCATTTCGTTTTATCAAAAACAAAAAAGGCGGTGGTGGCAAACAGAAATATTTAGAAATAGACCAAAATATGGTGCGAACAAATTGCTTGCAGATTTAAAGATGCAAAGAATTAGTGGTCAATATAAAAATTTCACTCAAATGTCAACAATAGATTTTGAATATCTTCTTAATGCAATTGGGCCCAAAATAGGAAAGCAAGATACCAAGTTTCGAAAAGCAATCTCAGTGCAAGAAAGACTAGCTGTAACATTCATTTTGCCTATATAAACTAATTAAAAGTAAAATATTTTCTTCCATTTCATACACAAAATAAAACTAAACAAACAAAATTGCCCTTCCGCCCGTCCAGACTTGTTCAACGTCGTCGCATACCAATCCTTTGATGTTTCGTCAGTTTACCGACAAGTCGTGGATCGCGACGTACCTCGAGCTGCAACGCTTATTAGGTTCGCGACGGCGTTCGTTTCGACGTCCAGATTGCGCGCGACGTGGTACAAATCTGGACGCGGCTTTAGATACTTTTTTAGTTACAAGTTACAAGATACTTTTCCAAAGTAACTTAGTTAAAGATACTTTCTGTCCAATATAAAAAGTATCTTAGATCTAAATTACTTTCAAGTATCTTTTTTTTCAAGATACTCCCAGCTCTGAAAAACATAATGTTAGATTCTCGCAATAAACTTGCGTGAATATTAATTCAAAATCTTTAACTGCTTAACAGAGATTGACTTTGATTTGTCTGATTTACATTAATGACAACACTTGTGTTTTGACAAGAAAATTGTAATTACCTATATTAGCTATAGCTTATATATAAGTCAGTATATGTATTTAAATTATTATGTAAATTCAAATTGCATTTAGCCTTTGAGGCTCCATTATTAATTTGTATAATTTGCAAGGAAATACATTTAAATTAATGATTATGTATGTAATACATTGTATTTAGTGTACCTAAGGGTTGGTAATTAGCCATGCTAACAATTAAATGTCAACTAAGGGTTGTAGAAAACTTACAGACAGTAAACTGGGGTCAGGTCGTTTGCCGAATCTTAACCGCATTTGAGGAGATCGACCCTGCAAGAGAAAACAACAACTTTGTTTTCACAACGTCTCAATACCTATTTTAAATTAACACTATAACCGCTATAACTATAGTCAACATACAGGGTGTCAAAAAACTTTGTGAACAGGCGATGGTTCTTCGGAAACTATATGATAAACAAAAAAATATATAATAATCCCTTAAAATAAACAAGTTTTCACTTTGGAGCTTCATAACTCGAAATTTTTTTGCCAATATTATATTTTTAATATTTTTCTGTAAATTACTTGTAGTTTCCAAACTACTATCGCTTGTTTCACAGAGTACCACATGTACCTATATAAAGTTGGTATCTTAATGTTGATATTTGTTAAAAAAATCCTTTTTGACATTTTATTTGTTTGATAATATCTATTAGTCTAGCCTAAAATAATATTTTTCCTAAGGAAATATGCAGGGTTTGACAAAAATGGAGCACCTCGGCACAAGAAAGGTTATACTGTATAACTTATACAAAAAAACAAAATGTTATAAATTTTTATTTAAGTTATATTTTACTAAAAGTAACAACTTTATCAATATTATTCATTTAAAGAATCTTTTTTCTTCATGTTGTTTTTGATTTTTGACTTTAATGATTTGATGCTATAAAATAAGCTAAAGTGTGTTAATAACACACGTCTCCACAAAAGTTTTTTAACAATCAAACCAGACTATTACACCCCCAAAGTTTTCCGTCCAAGGTTATAATAATAATACATAATATATATAAAATTTGGAATACTGAGTTGAAATTTTACAATTAGTCTTTGAATAGAGTCAATCCAAATGAAAACACCAAAAATGAATTAAAAAGTGCGCTGCATGATTTTTTATTTTAATGAAAAAATTTGAGAATGATCTTTTAGGTATCATATATGAAAAACCGTTGCCGTTTTAATTTTTAGTTGCTTTATTTTTAATCGGCACCCTTTAGAAACCTGAAATCGGGTCATTTTCTTACTCTCTTATAAGAGGCTAAAACTTTTTTCCTGTAGCAATTATTGAAATGATTGTAATTTTATTTTACTGCCTAGTAAGTATGTTTTCAATATTAATTATTATTATCTAATTAGTTTATCTCATAAAAGAATGGCAAACCACTAAAGATTTGTAATAATTTGCCAATTTTTGTGATTTTTGTCTGACTCCTGTGCCTATTCTGCTAAATCTAGAAAGCTGCTTTTTTCAGGTATCAAGTACTTAAACAATGGAAAACGTAACTATTATTTTAAGTTTCTAGACTATCATTTTCTTTATAAAAAATTATTGAAACTTGATAATTTTCAAAAATAGCCAATTTTGCCCTCAGAAATCATTATGTTGAGGAAAAAATAAAAATCTGAAACTTTCAGGAAATGTAGTCCCCACCTTCATCTTTTCAGTCTAGTTAGTCTTGTTTTGTTATTTTTATCCATGTAAAAGATATAATAATTTTTTTAATGCAGTTAAGAAGCCATATTGTTAGTTTTATTTATAATTTAAAATTTAGATGGCTTTGACATGTTTGGTAGAGAAATGTCAGAACTGTCAAAAATATTTCCTAAATATTATTTGTGCGTATTTAAATTGTGATTTCAAAAAGTTTGCAAGTGGAATGTTCGAGATTCATGAATTTAATTGCAATTAAAAATGCAAAAACATATCATAATTTTGTACCTCTTTCTCATAAAAAATATAAGTATATGTATAAGTTCTGAGAAGTTTTAAATTGTAAAAATTAAGCAAAAACCAAAAAATATTCTAAATAAACCCCTTTATTATAACATGTTTTATTTTAACCAGTTACCTATAAAAACTAAAATTTAAAGAAGTATTTATAGATTGTGTAAATTTTTTTCCAACATTTAAAATACATACATTTAACTTTTAACAATTCAGTGCCTTACTAAAGGGATCAAAATAATAGAACAAGACAAACTTGTAAAAGAAACCGATAAAAAACTGCTTAACGCATTTTTTATACTTTTAAATTAACTCTTTATTAATTTCACTTATTATACTTTACGATATAAACCATAAGGATCTTAAATATATTTTTTACATTCTTCTTCTTTAAACATCAATTAGCCAATTAAATACTACCACATATATCAGAACTGTCAAAAATATTTCATAATTATTATTTGTGGTATTCCTTTGGTGATTTTTAAAAGTTTTATAAAAAATAATATGACATATTATGTTATATACAAAATTTACCAAAGAAATACGCACAAATAATATTTATGAAATATTTTTGACAGTTCTGACATTTCTCTACCAAACATGAATTGACTAAGTCAAAGCCATCTAAATTTTTAATTTTTAAATAAAACTAACAATATCGCTTCTTAACTGCATTAAACAAATTATTATATCATGGATAAAAATTACAAAACAAGACTAACTAGACTGAAAACATCAACATAATGATTTCTGAGGGCAAAATTGGCTAATTTTGAAAATTATCAAGTTTCAATAATTTTTTTAATAAAGAAAATGATAGTCTATAAACTTTAAATAATAGTTACGTTTTCTATTGTATAAAGTACTCGATACCTGAAAAAAAATCTTTCTAGATTTAGTAGAATAGGCACAGGAGCCAGACAAAAATCACAAAAATTGAAATTACCATGAATCTTTAGTGGTTTACCATTCTTTTATGAGATTAACTAATTGGATTATAATAATTTATATCGAAAACACACTTACTGAATAGTAAAAAAAAATCATTTCAATATTTGTCACAGAAAAAAAGTTCTGGACCACTATAAGAGAGTAAGAAATTGACACGATTTCAGATTACTAAAGGGTGCCGATTAAAAGTAAAGAATCCAAAAATTAAAACGGCAACGGATTTTCATATTTGATACCTAAAAGATCATCCTCAATTTTTTTTATCAAAATAAAAAATCAAGCACCCCATTTTTCGTTTTTATTTGGAATGACTCAATAGGATTTAAATACTTTTTTTATTTGTCACTATGCTCTAAAACGAAAAATAAAGGTAGTATAGTATTTCATGTTTTCTTGTTTTTCGACTCCCCTGTATAATATTTTCAAATTTAAAGTGTGGCAATACTTTTCAAAACAAGCAGAACTTTTTATGAATAATGACTTTTGGTCAAAAAATTAAATTGGGACATACTGTACATGAGTCATATGAAAACGTCAATCATTGTGCTGCATGGTTATAATAGTTAACATTAATTACGAAAAAAAAAATATTTGACTGCTTGTAACATTTTAATAAGAGACACGAATTCGATAAAATAAATTATCATATCAATGCTCTGAGATTTTTATTTTGAATATAATGGATTCATTTACATTTTAAGATTCAAAAGTCTAAAAATCTTTGAAAAAGCCCGCGTTTTAATAAAAATCACCCCCCATAATTAAACCTTCGCTACGCCCCTGAGACTATATTTTTCCAAAGGTTTTTAATACGCTGAATTCGAATCCCACCTTAGAGTTGCTTCATTACATTAGGTTTTTAAGGAATTCCAACCTTTTAAATTTAAGGTTTTTAACATTATAAAAGTGTTTGTTGAAAAAATATATTTTTTTTTCAAGGGTATAACAATTTTTATATTATAACACTCATAAGTCTATAAAGAAAGACTTCATATTTGTACGCAGTTTTAAAGTCAAATTATTATACACCGCCGTACAATAATATAATGAAATAGGAAGAGAGGTTACATCTATTGCGTTAAGCTTGAAATAAGCAGCAAAAATGTAAAATTACAGGTCACTGTAGAATAAATTCTTGTACATAACCGATAATAAAACATATTTCAAACGTCAAACCTGACAAAATGTCGCAAACTCGATAAATTCAATGTAAGTAAGTAGAGAATTTTTAAATGCTGCCTCGCTCAGATCTGCAGCATCTTCTAAAGCCTCAGCAGCGAACACTGAGCTCGTCTTTAAATAAACTTTTTCCCCGCCTGTTAGATTATGAACTATTTTTTAACCCTCCCTATGGCATGGAATTGTGTTTTTGCGCCTTTTTCTGGGCACCCTGTATATTTAACATTTTTTTTTAAAACAAATAAAAGTATTTAAGGTATCCAAAATTTATAATATTTTCCCCACATAATAATGCGTTTTATATACCGGAAACTTTCCTCAAGTAGCAAAATAATATTAGAGGTACTGGATTACGCATGTTTAATGATGACGACAATAATTTGATATAAAACCATAAGTAGATATGCATAAGTACTTATTTTGTTAATCAAAAAACCGCAAAATTTCAAATTACCTATTTGGAATATCCAAAAATTAATGGTTTTGATAAAAATTAGATTATCTATTTATAGAACAAGTTATTTAATTTAAATATAATAAAAACAAATTTTTAGAATAATTTTCATTTGGCAAAACAAGCCAAGTGTTCCCACTAAAAACTTAAGTTGTTTCCGATTTTAGCCAAAAAAATTTGTTTCGCTTTTGAAACCACCTCTATCTTAAAGCACGAAAAAAAAGATATAGGATATATGAGTACATTAGATGCACAAATCTGTATTTGCAGAATAAGTGATTTTAAGAAAAACATGAAAAACCGCTCATAAGATCATTTTTGAAAAAAAAAAATGTAAAAATTGTATAGACGTGCTTAAGCATTATTTTTATTTAAACGAATAAAAAAAAATCCTTTCAAATTAGGTATTTTACTAAATAATTGTATTCAGAAGTTTTAAAAACATAGTTTTGCATCTTTCTCGTTCAAAGACCAAGTTTTGCAAGTGAAAAGTGCAAATACCAAAAAATAATTATTGTTAACAATTTATCAGGTGATTGTTATGTCGTCAAATAATGCCTATACTAGCGACGTGATTGGTCAACAGTAAATACCGAGTTTTGCATCCGACAGGAAGAAACAAATACCCAGTTTTGCATCTGCGTTAAGTTTTTAAATGTATTTTATTCTACAAATACTAACTTATACATCTGGTTTACTTAGGTATGCTGTAGGCAGTGCAGTAATGTACAAAAATAGGAT